AGATGAGAAAAGAAAATTAATATGGTGAAAATGTGTGTTTGAAAGTGGACCTTTTCAAAACATGCTAGAGCTCACTAGATAGAGTTTCATGTATATATTTTTTGTCAACTCTTTTCATATCTTTTTGTAGAGAATTGAATGAGGAATCTTTCTAAAGAAACACGAAGTCTAAGGGGTAAAAGCTTCATGAGATATTTACGAAATACTGAACCCTTCATTATTTATGGCCCACCCGTTAGTTGCACTTTTTACTTGAGCACGTGACAACAGTACACTGGACTTTTCCTAATTTGAATCGAATAAGTCTTACCGAAATATCGTACTAACGGTTGATGGAAATTGTCTTTGTAGGTCATTAACAAGTGTTTCTGTTAGTTTAAATATGGACGATTGAGGACCAGACTATCAAGAAAACAATACATTCCAATTGAAAACGATTAGTAAATACTCGTACCATAGTTGCTATATCAGCATTTTGCAGAGATTCAAAAGAATTCAATCGATTATACATAGCAATTTCTTTCGACATTATTTCACTATAAAAATAAGCAATAATAATATTAAATCAAGACCAAAACCAAAGAATGTCTAACCGAAATGGTCTTACTATAGTGACTGAATCATTTCTTGTATCTGTAAAATTCTATATAAAAAAAAAACGAAAACATGCCGGAACACATTCGGACAACAAAAACATAAATTATACGAACACATTCAAGAGCAACATGAGCACCTTTGCCTTGTGCCATATCGGAAAGAATTTGTGCTGCAAGTTTTGTACAATTATCACCCGTAATTAATTTCGTACAATTTTCACGTTTGGCAATATCAAATAATAGTTTTAATCTATGGATAAATTCAAGCAGATCTAAATTTTCTATCAAGTCATTACGTATACCTTCGTCGTCGAATAAGTTCTTCACGAGCAGTCATTGATTTTGTTTTTTGAAATAGCAAATCTTTAAAATTACTTTCATTATCAAGATTCTAATAAAGAAAACGTTCGAAAATATTTTTCTTTCAGTTTGACCAATCGTACCTCATCAATGGAAACAATATGTAATGGGTAATTCAATTGATTTTTTATAAGATCGATGACTTTCTCGCGAACATCATTCGAATCCGGATACAATGAAGATTCTAAAAGTTTTATACTCGATAAAATGAGAACGGAGTTTTAAGTTTTAATCACCATCGATGAAAGCAACTTGTGCTTGAAATTGAAGACGTCTTCGAGCATTTACACTAAGCCCATCAACAATCAAATGAAGTAAAGCTGTCGATGATGGCCCACCGGAATATGCAAGAAGAACACGTTCGCCTCGTTCGAATACATTAGATTTTGATATTGTGGAACGAAATTTATGTATGAAAAATTCTTCAAAACATTTCCTGAATTTAGAAAAAATAAACTCTTTTGAATCGAATGTGAGTTGACTCATAAAATGTTCCAAAATTTTTAATTCACTATTAAAAACAGCCATCATTAAGCGCTAGCAATTATTTTCCGTCTGCATCCACAGACAAATTCATAAAGTTAGAACTATGACCTGAGAAAAGAACATCCCTATTCACCCAATCTCCGTAGACGATAGAGATCTGAAAAAAATCATGTGCCTCTAACAATAGACGAACGCCCTCTTTGACACTAGACTTTCTATTCACCAAGAGAAAAATTATTTGATGCTTATTGACATCAGAACTCAATAATAATCCAGTAGATAAAGCTTCTTTTTTAATTGAACACAGCAAACAAAAGGACGAAGAGATATGACCAACGTTTGAATTACTTTCAATCCATCTAAAAGACTTTGTTTTATAGATTATCATGTCTTGAATTGAAATGATTCTACATATCCTGTTAGACAAACTAATTCAAACAGTGAATAATAAGTAATTGATAACTACTAGGTCTTTTTGAAATAGAATTGCTACATTTTCTGTCTTGATCAAGCGTCATAAATCTTTGTTTGAAAGTTCTTCAAGTAAATGAATAACTCACCGACACATTGGATCAGCAATTCGAACTATGACACAAGCATCTTGATCACAGCTCATGCATTTTCGACTGATTGTTGCTCTGCAAAAAATTTTTAATCTCCATTCACACGTAACCGAAATCCTATGCCATAGACACCTACTTATTTCCTGCGGATTTGAGTGATTGAAATAGTTCGTCGTCCTCTTCGTTTGCTTGACACATATCTGCAAGGCTAAGAAGTTATATATTTTCTTGTTTTGTTTTCACAATACGCATGAGAAAACAATTTATGATTGGTTTTATTTTTATATTTAATTTTCGTTTGTTGTCGCATTATTTTTATGCTTAGAAAGAAGAAACAAACAAGCAATAATATCGATTACAAACGAAAAAAAACAATGATGATCATTTTGTTTTCTTTTTCTTTGAACAGAGACAAATATGATAGGTCAATGTCTCATGAAACAAGTATACAGGCACCACCAGCAGCCTTGATTTTTTCTTCAGCACGTCGGGAGAAAAATTTTGCCTTGACAATAAGTGGTTGTTTTGGTAAAACACCTTTGCCTAAGACTTTGAAGTAGCCTGATCGAACACAATTGATAACAGGTACAGCCGAGTTTTCACTGTCGGCAAATTTTTCATGTGTGCGTTGACTTAAAAGTGACCATAAACGATCAAGATTGACTGATGGACACCAACGTCGGTTTTTAAGTTTGTGAAATTCACGTTGACCAACTTTACCGAAATAACCCGGATGGTATTTATCGAAAAGTGTACGATGATGATGAAGACCACCAGCATTACCACGACCACCAGGATGCTTACGATGTTTGCCAACACGACCGTGACCGTGGGAAACGTTACCTATATGAAAATACTATGCGAATTCAAAGAAAAGGGTAACACAAAGAGTATAGGGAACTTATCAGAAATCTCTGCAGTCTTTCTCGAATTTTTACTTCGTGGCTTTGGAACTATCAAAATGTTTCTAATTGTGCATAAATTTTCTAGAGACACTGTTCGATAATTTTGACACAAATAGAAAATCTGTATCAAGAGAAAAACAATGAAGTTCCAAAATGAAGCTCTCGCTGATTTTTGGTTGGACTAAAAATTTATAAAAACGCCTAGCATAAATCAGCGATATGAATTTCGCAAGAATCAGGTAACGCTCGTATAACTTTCTCGCTATGTTTTTATCAGCGCGACCGTGCCTTCTGACGTCTGTCTTTGGAATCTAGAGAATGCAAAATAATGACGTACCACGTAATTTAGTTTTCTTTGGTTTTTTGTTTAATCGTGAGTTTCTCGCTGAACCACGTGCGGCCATTTTTAGTTTTTATAGAAAATTTATCTGAAATATAAAAATAGTTCGCAGTAGATAAATAGATATGTATATATGTTTATTGTTTTTCATGTTTAAGTAGCCAAAGTTTAACTAGGTTTCTTGTTCCTCCTGAATAATTTCCAATATCACCATTAGATCGAATAACACGATGGCATGGTACAATTATTTGAAATGGATTACGTAGCATAGCTGTTCCAGCCGCACGTGCAGCTTTTTTATTTCCAGCTAATTCAGCTAATTGTCCATAGGTGACTGTTTGACCGAAATGAACATTATCGAGTAGTGCACGCCAAATACTTTCTTGAAATGAACCTTTTTGTGATGCAACATTCGGACAAAGCTCAGGTGTTTTAGTTAATTTTTTCGGTGTATGAAAATATGTACGAAGCCAATTAAGACATGATTCAGGCATTGGAAGCTTTCCATTTGATGATTGAATTTCAACTGGTTGACTAAAGATAACATATTATTGCTGTATTTGAATGAAGATCTTTATAATAATCACTTTTCATCTGGTAGAAAGGATTCATCATTGATAGACTTTATTTGTCCGATAGAATGAAGACCTTTCGAACAATAAGTTAATGATAAAAGACCTATTGGTGATGTACAAATTGACGATGAGATTTCACACATTTTTAGGAGAATTTTCATTCACAAAAAAAATAAACGAATATGAAGAGAAATAAGCAAACAACCAGAAATTACCAAATTTGTGGATCCCACCAATCAGAATCCTATAATTCATCAACATGATCCTTTGCTCTTTAAATAAGGTTTTTTGGGAAAAGTATGAAATTCAAGTTTTTTACTGAAATTTATCCAACTTTAGAAAACAATATCATCTAACTTTTATACGATGATATCATTGAGTTAACTTTTTTTCCATTGGTTAATTATAACTGTTCAGATTGTGGCGCTCTCCATTGCTGAAAGTCACTGTGTCATGTCATGATTGAAGAATTCATATTGCATGTCTAATTTACGTGACGGAAAATTTATCGAACAGGTTGAGGAACTAGTAGGAGTTCAGAGTTTAATAGATTAGCTACTCGAAACGAGAAAAATTTGTTTACACAGCATGCTTGCTTCCAATTTACTCTAGTTTTCCACCGGAAATTTATACGACGGAGTGAGTGACAGAATCATGAACCTAGATAATATTCATAAAAATAAATTTATTCTATTAATATTTTTTGCAATGCTCAGTTCATCTGATCGTTTTTTCACCAAAGTAGACTAATGACACATGATTTACAGCGTAAACTTCACATCATGCTAATACATAACCAATGTAAACATAAAAGAAAAGATGAATATGAGTAATCACAACAATAACGAAAAATCTGAATATCAACAAATCTCCTCATTTATTCTTGGACATGCGGTGATATAATTTATCATGTATATCTATAGAACAAAAAAACAAGTTGAGACTGGTTTGAATCATTTTTCTGCTTCCGTAAATAAGCAACGGATTAAAATGACTAAGACTAGATGTGAATACAATTTCCTCTTTATTCAAATTCATACATTTGAAAAATCACCACCGTTTGGTATCGGAATGGACTTCAGAAGCGATGAATTTTGTTCTTTTTTTTTCGGTATTCAAAAGTAAGTAAACATTGATAAATCCCTTGGATACAATTTTTCGATTAAATCTGAATGGCGAAATTTTCATGTAGGTACTAAGAGAGAAAAATATTATTTTCTTCTCGAAAAACCACTTACTTAATATATTTTCAGCCTTACATGAAATTTATCGTTAAAATAAATATTTTTATGAACAATAAATTATTGACAGCTTGCATTTACAATCGGTTATCAGAAAGTCACTATTTCAAATATCAGAACTTATCCTCCATGAATTTCTATCAGCCAGGATAATTATCGATTGACAGATAGCGAGACATTTATGATTGAATCAAAATTCACCATCGACTATTTTTGAGCGATGGATACTTTTTCTATAGAAAGAAAATCATTAATTTATTTATTTATACAGTTTGCTAAAATCTGCACAATTCATATTTGGAAAAATTTAAATAAAAAGCAAAAGTAAATTGTATATTTCATTAAAATTGCCAATGTGAAATCATATATATTTTACCGGAAACCTTTCTCATTATTATACTACATGTTCGTAATATGTCTTCATCAATGAATATCTTTGTGCAGCTTCATAGGGCGGTGGTTCATAACATTGTTCATATATATGACTAGATAATGTATCTGCTTCAATTTCAATATTTGAACCATGAGAAAGATTTGATGTCTAAAATTAGACGAGCATTCGTATAATGTGAATAAAAAGAAAATCAAGCTGAATCTTTACTTTAAATGAACTATCGACTATATATTGTTTACGTCTACGAATAAAGCATTTAATTAGAATAACAATACCAATTAAAATAACAAGAAGAGCGATGGTAGCAGCTGAAAGAGTTAAAGATAAATTAATAACTTCAAGAGAAAACATTGTTCGCGGAGAAAACTATCGCGGTAAAGAAACTATAGGTACGCACTAATAAGCTTTGTGGGATTTAGGATAATCTTCAAAGATTATTTAACTAGGTGGAAAGTTTCTTTTTATTGAAGAGTTTGAATAGAAAAATGTTGATCTGGTTATAGGGAAAGTTTAAGCTGCATAGACAAGTTCTACACTATATTACGTAATCGACAGATTATTTAGAAAACACTTTATTCTTTTGTCACACTATACAATCGATTTATTTTTTCTATGAACATGATTTCTATTCGTGGATGATTAATAAAGATTAGCGAGAAACGAGTCCGGCTTTTTCTTCATTAGGGTAGCAACGAGAAGTTTTCCTTTTGACAGCCGATTTAACACTGCTGCGAGTTCATTTAAATCATTATTCGAAATAGAGATACAGGATAAGCTTTAAAAGAAAACAGATTTGCCCATAATTCATCAGAGTTCTTCTAGATATTAAACATACCAATATAAAATTTGAATTCATTGAGCAGCTCAATAAGAAAATTATTCGTATCTAAAATAATGAAAACAAAAACAATTATTTAAAAAATTTCTAAACATATTCATATACATATCAGATGTTATATCATTTCTGACATTTACCATAAACTATTAATAATATAAACTTGAATATCTCTCATTTAATTCCTAGGACACAAAAGTCTGCATAGTATTTCCTAAACGCTAAACTTTCGCCAATATGAAAGTTCATAACAACACTTTAGTCTACGACATTAGCTATTTAAATCTCTCATGCTTGAAGTCTCAATATGCTTACAATCTTTTTCGATGTATTGACATGCTCGGCGATCTTGTATAGTTTGACACGGTACATAATGAAGCATTTTGCAAGCTAAATCACAACGTATATCATCTTTGGGCGGACATGAATAAAGATTGTTTTGGCAAAGTTCTTTTAAAGCAAAACAAAAAATGAACAGCATAAAAATAAATTTCAAACTTACTACAAAATCGTCCTTCCTCGTCGAATCGATCATGGCAATCAATAATTCCATCACAAAATTGTGACCAAAGCAGAGTTCGATTGCCGCCATCGCATGTATGACCATTCGATAGTACCATTGCGCTTGTCTTCACTTCTAAAGAGTTAGTTAGTACATAGTGATTCTTTTCTTCTCTCTTTAGTGCATTTCTTTGTTATGATGTAATTGATATGTAAGAGAACAACGCGTAATGATTTCCTTTTTTCCTTTTATTTGTATGAGAAGGAGAAAGAGAGAGAGAAAGAAAGTATTAGTGTAAACTAAACAGCAGTTGTCTGTCTTCTTCCTCGTTTTTTTTGCTACTGTACAAGCAGATAATGATCTTGCTTAGCTGTTTTGTTAAATCAAGTTATTTCCATTGATGAACATTCTTCTTCACATTCATATAATCAAAACTTACGCTGGCTGTTACATACGTACTGATGCCATCATCATCATCAATAGCATATTTCTGTGTCTGATGAATTCATGTCAAAATGTCATAATGCATCTCTTTTCTCTCTCCCTCTCTCTCTGCCCTATTCTTGTCAATTAACATAGCGTTCGATTAGGTTGTTCATCAGTCGCTTTCGATTTCATACGCTCGAGCGAATAAATATGATGAAATATTGTTCTCTTTTGTCTAGTAGTTAATAATAATAAATTATCGTTCACTTTTCGCTTGATTGTTTCTTTTATTTTAGCATGCGCTTTGGCAAATCTATTTTTTCTGACGATGATGAAAAAAAGTAGAAATCAGATGAAAAGAAATTTTTAAGTAGAACTTTTACTGGTGAACTAAAGTCAAGTACTGTCAGAGTATCCGACGACGCCATTAGACGTGTATATTTACTACGAGAATTATTTATGTCTTCTTCCTTTTCTTCACTCGCAAAACTAAACTCTCTAATAATTAGTTTCGAACTGTGAGAAATCTTGTGATTTTTTTATAAATCAATGATTTACCAATATTTTTATAACGCCAAAATGATTGGCAAACATACTGCCTTTCAAATCAACGAGTTGATCTTTATGTCAAAAAAGTATTCTCTAAGGCGAGTTTACTTCCCATTTCAGTGTTTAGATTAATAATGCATAATTATGGTTCGTGTGGAAGAGAATAACTTATATAAGAAGAAAAAAAACATAAAGTCAAGCAAACACTTTCTATGCATGATGATGTTAAGTATGAGTATGCTATGTGCTACTCAGGTGCGAATTACTTATTATTCGCTTTTTTTTGTATTCATAATCTGTGCTTTAACAATAATGGATGAACGAAATCCTTTATTTTAAGCTGGATTATCAAATGGGTTGTTGGGATAAACCAATGATGATTTGAGGGCAATGCAATCATAAAAATGATCGAAGGCTTATATTCATGCCCCTGTTGAAACCAATTGATTGTAGAATGGAAATATTCTCGAAGAAAATTATAAGCTGTTGAAAGAATCTTTCAATATGGTATTGGATAAAGACTAATGAATTGAAAATTTGCACAAAATATTACATTTTAGAGTAATTTGCCTGTTTATAAGGCTTTGCATTGTGAAGAAATACTTGATTGTGATATCCGACGATTTGAAGAGACTTTAATTGCCATGATTTATTTTCTTCAGATTAGTAAAACTATCATCTAATCTGTGTTCAAAGAGGAAACTTTGCTTTTGAAAGACACTTTCAGAGAAACTGATTATTATTTTCCCTGATATAGTATTAAACAAAACAATAAACGGTGACGTACGTCGATAAAGACATTTGCGCCATACAGTTCTATAATTTGACTTTTATTGAGGGCTTAACGACGTCTCACAGAAAATAACAAATTTCTATGAGTATTCAAAATGGCAACATCGAAAGATCACTCAAAGTGAATACTACAGAGTTTTGTATAAAGTTCAAAGTAGAACAAACATATTATTAGATTATTTTCTTTACCAAGCAAATAATAAATCAGCTCTTTATTGAATTCATAGGTAAAAATACATTTTCTTTTTCATTATGAGATTATCGAAGTTTTTCTTCAACGGAATAAAATCGAAATCCATTTGATACCATCTGTTATTGATCCGAATACAGAGACAAATTTTTAATTAACTAAATGCTACATATGTAAATTTGTGAACAAAAAAAAAACACTTCAAATTTCGGATACAACAGGACTTGAAGTCAATGTATGCGCATTTCGATCATACTATGCCACAGTACTTAGTATTCTATCTTTTTAATATCTTGTTGAAGGCTCTTTTTTTTTATTAATTCATATCTATTTTAAAATCTATTGATAAATACCATTTGCATAAAATCTCTAGTAGGTCGATCTCATAAATCTCAGGCTCAATCTTATCCTTGAGTTCGAATCTTCTTTATGTGTGCGTAACCTAAATCTGGCCAAGACGGTGACCCTATAAAACTTCATATGCGTATATTTTATTTTTTTATTTTTACGATTCGCGTGCATATGACAATGGATTATCGATGTGTAAATACGTTCTTCTAACTAAATACCGGAGATGTATCATACGCTCCCACATTGGCAAACGAATTTGTCTCTTAACTTTAAATCTGCGCGTTGGACTTTCTGTAAAAACAAAAAAGCAAGAAGCAGAAAGCCTGCTGTATCGCCCACATATTTTAGCTAAAAAACAACCACAAATGAAAAGAAAACAAGATTAACCTTTACGTGGCGTTAGTTTGGAAGTATGGGAGCATATATTCAGCTTTTATGAATATTATAACTACGCAGTGATTCAAGTGAGATTGTCAGGACTCTCATATAGGTTTAAAAGGACGTACCATTTCGATATCTTGCCATTCGAATAAAACAAAAGCAAAGCGACACAATGCTGTTCTCATGTCGTCATATTATTTTATACTTTTTTACTTCATTAATTGTTACTGTCTTTGGCCAAAGTGAGCATGATTGCATCAGAGAATGTATAGTCTATATTTCATTTATAGGCACATGTGAAGATTATTCTCCTGATCCGACGAGTTGTGAAAAATTTATTCGATGTTTTCATAATCTACGTATTAAATTTACTTGTCCTCCTGGTACAGCATGGGAAGATTCATTGAAAACATGCGTATGGAAAGAATATGTTGAAGCGTGCAATGTAGGCAATCTAGTAAATCAACGTAATCTCGGTATGTTTATTGTCGAGTTTTTTTTTTAAAACTTTTAATTCGTCTATATTAATCGATATAGATGATTCCGAAATGGCAACATATGAAGCTGACCCATACGCTCTTGACGATATTCCAGTAGGTAGAACATTAGCTGAAGCTCGCGCTCTTGGACCTTTAGTAACACCTAAACAATATCAATGCACATTATGTAATGTTGGTGTTTGTGGCGGTACTACGACTACTCTTCAATGTTATTGTGGTAACGCTCAGTGTCCACCAACAGCGCCAAGTATGAAAAATATATCATCTTTTGTATTCTTATAAATACTCTTGTTATTTATTTTGAGATCAACAACAAAATCTATGTAGTCAAAATCCATGTAAAAACATTTTCTATCTAAAGTTTGAAATGAACAAATTAACATTTATTTTTCAGGCCTCAACGGCGGCCGATGTATGTCAAATGGACAGGGATTTATTTGTCAATGTCCACCAACATTTACTGGCAATCGTTGTGAAGCGCCTGGTAAATGCGTTTGTTTTTGACAAAACAAGAAATAATTTTTCTTCCATAGCTGTTACACCATGTCAACCAAGTCCTTGTCAAAATGGTGGAATATGTATACCTCAAGGTGCATCGTTTATGTGTCAATGTCCATCGACATTTTACGGTCGTTGTTGCGAAATACCAGTCACAACCACACCACGAGCTAATCCATGTGCTGTGGTTCCTTGCCGAAGCGGTGGACAATGTATTCCTTCGGGCGCATGTGTGTTTGTGTTATTTTTATTTTTTCTAATAAAATATAGTTTAACTGCTTAGCTTATATCTGCCAATGTCCTATGGGATATTCTGGTTCGCAATGTGAACTGCGAAATTATTGTATGCCTAATCCATGTGCTAATAATGGTCTTTGTCAACAGACGACTACTGGTTATATTTGTAGATGCACTTATCCGTTTACTGGCACCAATTGCCAACAAAGTATGTTGATATCGTCTGTGAATGAAACAGATTAAATTTGAATCGTTTGCTTTTTTTCCTTCAGTGATTACTGCAGCTCCAACAACAGCAACAACTCCGCTAGCTACACGAGCACCTTGTGGTCTAGCTTGTGCATGCACGGTAGTGCCGTGTCCAGTTTATATTGTGATAAATCCATGTCTGCCGAATCCATGGTTAGTTTGTTTTGACGAATCATTTTATTTGCTTGTTTTATTTTCTCTAGTCTCAACATGGGATCATGTGGAATTCAAAATAATGGAGCACAATGTTATTGTTCGAGTTCCTATACTGGCTATTATTGTCAACATCGTATGTTGAAAGAAAATTTTGAGAGATTTTAATTTACTATTCGAAGTATTTAGTTCGTACTGGTCGATCATTGATATCAAACGCATGTAATAAGACATGTCTTCATGGTGGTAAATGTTTTCTAGATGGCATGAATGCTGGTCAAGCTCGATGTTCATGTCCATCTGAATATTATGGACCTGAATGTGAATTTGGTAAGTCAATTTCTTTTGGTACTTCTATTTTCTCTAGCGAACTTCATGATACATTTTTTACCAGTGAATCGACCAAAATCATGTTCACCGAAAAATCCATGTATGAATAATGCACAATGTATTACAACAAAATCAAATTCAGAATGTGTCTGTAAAAATGGTACATCGGGTATTTTATGTGAAAAAAGTAAGTTTTGTTACTTCTATTGCTTCGATAGTCTGATAGTTGGCATTCTAGTTAAACGATCCAATGATCGGCAATACTGTCCACTTAATTGTCAAGCTGGTGGCACATGTGTTTATGTAAAAACCGAATCAAAATGTCGTTGTACAAAAGGTCGAAGTGGTCGCTTATGCGAATTAAGTAGGTTTAAAAGAAAACATTTCCCTATTATCTATTCGAAAGTTCTTCTTTCTAATTCTAGGTTCTGATAAATCCTTATCGACTAATGAAGATGATATTGATATGCTTGAATAAATAAACTATGAACACAGTCATCACTGTCTTTTGATTTTCTTCTATCATTTGAACCGTAGAAATACGTAAATCCGTATAGTTAAAGCATACAGGCATTCAACTGATTGATTATAAAAGATAAATAATAGAAATCTTCTTATTTCTGTTTTGTCTTTCCAAGACATCGATATCAGCATATCATTTCGGCTCAAAATAAAACTACTTTGAATCGATCTTGTGGTAAAGACATGAAAAAAATCTAATTATTTTCTTCAAACTAAAATCAGTAACCAAAAATACTTTTCATCTAAATGTAAACAAGATAAATAAAAATTATTAAAATTTTTCATCGCATTTGCCAACAATGAAAAACAAATCTACCTGAATATTCACGTTGACCTGAGCTGAATGGAAGAAAAAAACTAAAGAATAGAAATTCAAGATTATCATCTTGTCATGCGTTTGTCTCCAATGACTAATTTACTATTCAATCGATTAATTGATTGCTCCTGCATGCAAACATTTAGATAACATCAATAGAATTAGAAACCTACAAAAGTAAACAAGATACTCTTTTGTAATCAACAGACGTTCGCTTGTCTTGCAGTACTAAACGATGACAAGGTGTTAACGAGAATGTAGTTACTGTTAAAAAAATACTTCTCTGCCTTCTCGTTTAGTTCTGTGTTCATAAAAAATTCCTTAGATAACAATTGAATCGTTCTTAAGGAGGAAATATAAATGATCGCTTTTTTTTATACTGTCTTTTTTTTCTCCATATGGCGATTGTCAATGACATTAGTACGACATGGAAAAAGGAGAAAAAAGAATGATGATAAGTTGCCATACTAATGTCTACTTACAGTAATGATGATAACAAACAGGAAAAAATAGTTATATCGCTGATGATACTATACAGATGCCTTTATTTATATGTTTCTAGTAGATTGAATACATACGAGAAACAGAATCCGTAATAGTTACTGTAGCTGCGATCATTGATCGACGCTGTTAGACAAATAACAATTGTTCTTATTGTTATCATTTGATGCATAGTTGATTCCGAGAAGAAGAAAAAGGAGAAAATCATTCTTTCATCGTCACTCATTAATGATCGGTTGCATCGTTTTTTAACTTTTTAACAAATGGATATTCTTAACGCTTTCAATCGTTTGCCTACAATCAGCTATTTTGGAGTTCGGCGTGACGATGATTTTGCTGATCGGTTAAATTATAAATATACCGTGGGCTTATTAATATTATTTTCAATAATTGTTGCTAGTAAACAATTTTCAAATGATCCTATTCAATGGTAAACAATTTTTGTTGATTATAAAATATCTTTCTTTTTTTTTTCTTGCATATAAACTAGTTGGGTACCAGCTATATTCACTCGAAACTACGAAATCTATGTGTCTAATTATTGTTGGATACACAATGTAAGAAACAAAAAAAAAACATCTTTTTTAACTGTTTTAATTGAGCATATGTATATAATTAGACGTATCATATAAACATCAGTGAGCCACAAATGCAACGAGCACATGAAAAACGATACGTACTACGATACTATCAATTTGTTCCATTTATTTTACTATTACAAGCATTATTCTACGTGCTGCCACGTTTATTTTGGCGTTCATTTAGTCGTCATTCAGGTATCGATGTACGAAATATAATGGAGGCAGCACATAGCCTTAAAAGTGTGAAACGTTTTCATAAGCAAAAATCAATAATGGGCTATCTTGTTTCGTTGATGCATCAGTATGTTGGTGATCCACGAAAACGATTAAAACAACAGCATAGCAAAGTCAATAGATATCTATATGGTTTATTTCATTGTTTCTTTCGAAGTTCGAACGTTTTCAATTCATATTTATTTCTTCTTTATCTATTAACGAAAGTTATATTTATTCTAAATAATTTCATTCAAGTATATGCAATTCGACTTTTACTTGAGGAAAAATGGACTGTCAACCAAACGTTAAAAGGTTTTCAAAATATATTTACAACTGGCATATTACGTACTAATCCGGTATCGAAATTTTTTCCAAAAATAAGCATGTGCGATTTTAGAATTATTGAACCAAATAGTGATGAGGGGCACAAATATACTGTTCAATGTAAGTAAATACTGCGAGATCGAGTTTGCATAGATAGAAATTCGGATTTGCTATTTGACTAGATGAGTTTTGAAGAGATTTATTAGTGTGACCTATACATGAAGTTTTAGAATTTATTAATAAGAGCCGAGAGCAAATTCGATCTTATCTGTTTATTTTATCTCGATGTGTTCTATTATTTGTTTATCATTTTAACTTTATAATGAAATGACCGCAATTGACGAGTCGCGTCAGACAATCATTAGTGAAAGTCGAAACATTCAATTAGATTCATTCTCTTTCAAGTAACCATCACTCGTTATGTCGAGCATTTATTGCTGCATTGCTTTCTTGTTATACTTAATAGAATATGTATCATCGTCTTGATGGTCGTATAAATACATGCATTTTTTCCTTGACCTTTCATATTGCTTACATCGAATGAGAGCGATAGAGTAGAATAGCTATTAGCTGAAATGCATATCGAAAAAATAAAGTCTTCTGAAGAGAAAATTCTTATCTTAGCCTTTGTAAACGCATGAAACGATATTTTTCAGTGACAACATCATCATTCTTGAAGTTTAGTTATAATACATACGGCATTTTTCAGTACCATTGCTACCGTGAAAGCTGGGCGAATTTACCGTTGCCCTTTATATTTATTTTTAACTTGTGGGTAATCTCTGGAAATTCAATTAGCTATCATGAAAGACATCCTTAATACCAGATATCCACGGCTTGAATTTTATCACTACTTCTGCGATATCAAAAGAACAATTAGTTGAAGTCTTCACATCGTTCATATCAGCGTGTGTAATGACCGAGGCGTTAGTACTTTAAAGAAAGCAGTGAATCGTCAAGGGACAACATAATAGAAATTATGTGAGGGACTCTAAGGAATTCTTAAATTGACTAACGCTGCTGAAAATTTACATGTCCAGTATATTATGTGTGGAGACGTCAGCATGATAAACGATATAAAAATAAAACTAATAAAGAAACTGGAAGAATTCATTTCGTGGGACTCTGACCATAAGGATGTCTTAATCGCCATTGATTTATATGTCAACCAGGCGATACAAGTTAAAATGTACGTATAGATTATGACAGAAGAAATTCGATTCAGTGTAGAAAATGTAATTAACAGCCAACATATGTTTTTATAATGCTAATAGTTTGCAAAGGTCGATTAAAACAATTTCTCCAAGAGATACATATAATAAACCGGAAGTCTATGCTTAGCGAAAGTTGCATCTACTATTAAATAAAAATATTGAACGGTTAAAGTGTTTTACTGTGTTCATCGATTCCTTATACTTTCACATGAAAGCTATCTTTATTGTTTTTTATCAGGTGTTTTAACCATAAACGTTTACAACGAACAAATCTTTACTCTTCTATATATCTGGATGCATTTCGTACTTGTAATAACAGTATATGATTTTTTGTCTTGGCTGATATTTTTAATTCTGCCACGTCTTCGTTATTCATTTTTAATTAAACGTATTCAAACTCAACACAGTGTAGCAACAGTGCGCGCTGGGATGCAAGCATTCGTTTACGATTATTTACAACATGATGGGTTTTTTATTTTTCGACTTATCTACGCAAATGTGGGTGATGATGTAACAACAAATATTTTAACAAATCTGTGGAAAAATTTTCAACGCGCTGATAAATCAGCAATGACTGAAAATACAACAGCAAACATTGGCGCAACTATTTCATTAACGGGAGCAGACAGCAATGGAGTTCATGGTAGGCACGAGGGTCCTGAAGGATCTATATTTGATTATTCGAAAACAAGTACAAATCTTTAATCGTAGCTTTTTGTTTTGTTCGTCTCAGATGTATAGAATTGATTATAATAATGAGATGTTTATTTTAAATACATTGCTTGGCGTGTGCGAAAGAAAATACTTATAGATCATAATTGAGAAATAATTTTAATGAAAAACAAAAATAGCAAATTTCAACATAATTTATTATTCCAGCAATCAGAAAACCATCCGAACTGATACTCACTGCTTAAGGTAATATTGAGCCTTGCAGGTGTCGTAATAAAAGTGTCGTTTTCATGTACCGTGCGAACTGTGCTAGGCTATTATTAATAAACGCTTCAGGGAAACATTTCAGAATACTTTACGGGTATATGGTGACATCAAAATTCATGCGGCTAAAAATAGCAATAGACATGAATTCTTTTACACGCTCCTTCTAGTTTCACTAAAGTGCTCCTTTTAGCTCTACATATCCAATGTGCCGGTAGGCAGTGGGTATCGTGCTAGGAGAAAATTCAAGAAATTTCATTCATATTTTTTTTTCATGTAACTATATATCGCCGAAATGATCTCAGTTTACATGATGCAGTTATGAAATCGAATCGTCTATTTAAAACGGTAAGGATAAATTTATTTCAAACGAAAAACACATTTCTGTAGTTGACTAAATTCATCAAGCCAGCGAACTCAATCCGAAGCATTATTTAAACAAATAATCATTTTTAATTATTGCCGACAGATGGTACGGAGACAATCATCTATCTTGCCATTTACTAGAAACTTGTACAAGTAAAATGACAAATGAAGGTCGTAAATAATATATCTTTCAAGATATGTCGAGGCACGTTACTATTCTAAGTTAAAACACTACAACCAGGTTCCTTGATTGTAAATCCTATTTTTAATAATATTAATAGATTTTTTTTCTTCTACTCGGACTTCTTTCAAGTAATTGATAAATATTGTTTAACTCGAATAGAGCAATCTATTTATATTTAAAAAATCAAATACAATTAAAACAAATTCGTCTCGCTTGATACTTGGATAGTATTTTACGAATAGTTAATTTCTTTTGTTACGTTCATCATGAGTAATTCTCGTGCATAGCCACGTATAATAAATTGATAAAATTCATTATAATCTAATTTTCCATCCTGATCCCAATCAACTTTTTCAATAAAATGTCGTATTTGTTCTCTACTAATAATTTTGCCAATAACATGTATTAAAGTTTCAAGTTCATCAGCTTGTATATAATGATCATTATTCTTATCGAAAGAACGAAATGTGAGCCATATTGAATGATCATCATGTTGGTCGATTTCGCCGGCAGTTATAACCGGAATTAGAATATCGCAAAATTGATCAAATGGTAATGTTTCTCCATGAGCGTCTATATTATCAAAATCGTTTATTTGAATAAATAAATAGATAGGTAAACTAACCTCGAGGAGAGACAATTGATTTCACCTGATCATACTGTTGCTTTGTCAGAGCTAATTTATATTTACTACCGCATTCGCGTTCAAACCAATCATAAACAACTGGGTTGATTATGTAACAAGAGAACAGTTATGTTTATAATTGAGTACTGACATTATGTCAAAATATTGTTTACATACCTTTAACAAGTTCCCCGTTTACTTTTTTTGTATACTTTCCGTATCGTCTAGAACAAAAATTCGAATAGGAGATCGATCGAGATGTCCGTTAGATTCGTTTACTTTATAACATTCTCATAAATTGGTAAATCAGTAAGATTTTCCATTGAATTAAGTTCCATGGCCATATGTTTTGTTGTTCTTTATCAGTAATAGAAGGGTTACTCTTACCAACGATCGTTGATTATGAATATAAGCAAGAAAGAGAAAGACGGCGCGTTTTTTTTACGTCATAAGTGGAAGAAAAATGGGCGATAACATACGCCCATAGTTATTTAATTCTCTATTTCCTGACAGCTGTAATGTGTTGATCATTTTTACAATCAAATAGAAAGAAAAAATAATACTCAAACGAAACTCCACAAATTCAAACATGTGTATTATTGATTGAAAAGATATGGCGATAGTTGTTTTTCTATAAAGAACTACTCAATGCGAATGCAAGAAGAAATCAAGAAAGCTTGCTCAAAAATACATGATCAACAGCACGCGTGTGATAGAGCTCATTGGCATAAGAGCAATATGCTTTTGATGCTTCGTTACGAAACTAAATGACGATACCGAGCGAGACAAATTGATCAAATAATTAACATTATTTTTCTTCGGAAAAAGACGCATTTCGATCCCGTACAAAATCACTCAGCTAGCAAATAATCGATCTTTCTTATTGGCTTGTGTATTTTTGAACAAGCTTGTTTTTCTGTTCTCTTGTTATTTTTATTCTTTATTTGCTATAAATCGTATCATAACGATTGATTTACCTCGCAAATAAGTTTATTATACATATCCTTGAAATCTAAAATAGTTCTCAAGGTACTTTCATAAATCGGGCTAATCTCACAAACATTCCTATTGATTTTATATCCCCCATTCATTCATTGATCATTTTACATTTTCTATGTTGATCTTCTGATGCCTGTGGCAAGTCAATGAATCATTGTCCATCATCTTTCACAAATTTTACGCAAAAAAATAAAACTTCCGTGTTCATATTTCAATGCTGTTGCTAAGGATAGGATGACCAGGTCTCTTTTTTTCTACGAATGTATTCAAAGAAATTTGTTATTCTGAATTGATACGATTCGTAATCGCAGAACATCGTGTTGCTCCATTAAACAAATTTTGTGAGGAAACCAATAGATTATTTAGTAGATATAACATATTTGGATTTCTTTTTTTTCTTCATATATTCTCTTGTGTTGTCACCAGGAAATTTATAACACGAGAAGTCTTATGAATTAAATATAGAACCCATGTTAAAAGAAGTAGTTCTGATTTATTGATCAGAAGATATATCCTAATTGATCGATACTATTGTTGTTGTTTTCATTCTCTAAAAAGAACATAACGACACATTTAATCATAACAATATTTTTTCAATATCAGTTTTAGAATAAAATCATCATTTTTCTAGAGAACATAACGCTTCATCTTTCAAATTAAAATTCGAGGCTATATGATTTACCGACAACAAATACACGATTACAATAATTCTTTTTAATCTAGTATCAGTTTCAATAGGCAACTGATTCTCAAGATTCTGATACACTACAGAAAAAAACGCTACATTTCTTAGATCTTGAAAGATTACCTATGAACTTATTACAAAGTAATCACCTTGAAACGAGTCTAAAAAAATTATAAAACTTTATGACAATTACCCAAGTGATTTGATTGGCACTGCAAATGCAATGAAGCATCTAATGGAGTTAGTGTTAACAATAAAACAACATTTTGATGAAGGCCGTGGAGAAATTAACGTTCATGTTTCGACAAACATTTATGGTTTTTATTAAACATACGCACAATATATTCGGTTTAAATTTTGAAGATTATTAAAAGATTTTTTTCAACAAATAAAAAGAAGTCTAAAGTGTTTTTATCGTAAAAGAGAAAGAGAAATAGGAAAATTTAAACAGTAATTCGCTTGAAAACACTATTAATATATGATACAGGTGCTTGTATATTCGATACGACAATCACAAGCGATGTGTTCGATCAAATGTACAAGATTATCGCCATAAGAAAGATTTCTGCATTTCTTTTTTATGATACTGATTTTAATTCATATAATTTACTATTAACGTCTTTCAGCACGAACGATGATAATTGCTAAATGAAGAATCATGAAAAACGCATAGATGGCAGCAGATCGTGTAACGAAAATGAATTCGACACTTTGAAAAATTCAAGTCGCACCCAATCGTGATCGTGAGTCCGGACGAATTTTACGACTCTAACTCGTGCGTTGACACCAACACGTATCCACACTTAGAAACATTTCACTAGTTTTCTCTTAATACTCTTATTATCATGCAATAGCCGTTGTGCTACTTAATTTTACTTACAACTATGAATGAATAGAATAGAAAGAACGATTTTCTAGTGCAAATATGTTCGACGGCATGATAAAATTATAAATAGTTGTTTTCTTACTACTTTTAAAATTCAGTACATATAGAAACACTTTTACATCATTTATTTTTAGTCAAGTTAATAACAAAAAATTAAATTTACAATGGAACAAAATGTCCACCAACACCTTCTGAGGAATACAAAACTCCTACGACAGTTAGCCTTTTTTACTTTCGAACAATATTCAATGACTGAGCAATATAGATTCTCATTCGATTTCTATTCATAATAATTCCATGGCTGTGGTGTTTGATTTGATACAGAGAAATGTTTAACAAAAGAAAAGGCTTGACTCATTCGCATGAAGAATTCATGCTGCATTGGAACTCTATCGGAGGTATGCAAATAAGTTACAGTATTAAATACAATAGTTGGAAATTGATTCGAGATCTTTTCCAAACGAGTAAATCTAAATGGGCGCGAATAAACATGACATCTACTCGAAGTAGTGCCAGAATGGAATACGGCTTGCTTTCGTATGCGAAGATACAAAGTTAACTTTTCCAGATGTGTCATACGACGAAGAACTGGCAAAACCGAATCACCGTAATGAAGAATGACATTATAACATGTTAATGAGAAGCATTTTAGCTGATCAGCTTGTCCGGCTAACTCTGCTACCGGAGAATGAGTGCGTCACTATTTTTATGCATTTTACTGTTCTCATTGCTTTTGAACAGTTCACCAGAGAAACGCTGGCAACATCTTGTTCTGTTCACTAAAATGTGCTTAATATGTTTAAACTATTTTTTGTTCTGTTGTATTTTTCATAAGACAAGAGAAAGAATATTTTAAACAGGAAAGATGAACAGTACACTATGGAGAGCACGTTTTAGTGAACAGAACAAGATGTTGCCAGCGTTTCTCTGGTGAACTGTTCAAAAGTAATGAGAACAGCAAAATGCATAAAAATAGTGACGCACTCATTCTCCGGTAGCAGAGTTAGCCGGACAAGCTCTGATGTACTTCGTCCTATAATATAGAACAATATCTTTAGAATATAAATTTAACCATTTAAATAAGATAAAATTTTCATATTAAAAACTTATTGAAAACAACTCTACTCATTCTCAATTCTTTTTTCAACACTGGATTACTTGTATACTATGTAGTAATAATCTCAAAAACAAATAGTCAACACTGCTAAATTATCTCTACATTGAAAATAATAAACATTTAGAGATTAGTTCAAAAGATACAAAGATAAACTTGACGATTTCGCAAGGCTTAAATTAAAAAATTGTTGTAATTTTGAAATCTGCATTATATAGTATATTCAATATTGTTAATTAGTAGTACAGCTATCGTTATGACAAACATTCTAATTAATAGAAAACCATGCGTTTTCTTTTGATTAATGTTATTATGCATTCTATGTCGATATGGACAAGACAGACAATCTAAGTACGGTCAGGACCGGGACCAAATTTTTTCCTAACTAACAGCAGGAGAAAATGACTGGTTCTGATTAAGTTTAATTCCAATGTTCACTTGTTACTCTTGTTCTTTAAGTGTTTGTTGTCACTCTCAATTAGACTATAGAAAGATACAGATAAATCTTTTGTTTTTCTTCAAACCGAAATATTTCCGACACATAGTACGTTAATATAAGATTCGAAAGGATCCATTACAAAAATTTTATATGAAGTGTACCGTATAAAAAAACAAACTTCTAAACATTATTTAATCTTAAGTCAAAGTTAGTAGACAATTATGGCATAACGGTCATTTCAGTATTTGTTCTTGCAGTTTTAATAACGAAAGTTATGCTTTTTTTTTAACAACAGAATTACCGAATACATAAATGCATAGAAGAGATGGCGAATCTCTGACAAAAAGGACATTATACGCCATGCGTGCTCTACAAAATGTCTCAAGCTGATTGGTGCTGCTACAAAATCGTACGAGTTTTTTTTTCTCTAGTAAATACAAATCCAAAACAATTTTTTTCTACGCGCGTCCAGGTACGACTCAGCCCGCTCATGTCTACGTCCATGTCATATATTTTGTTCTGTCAAAATCACGATTATATGAGATCTGTTTTCAATGATTAGAAGATATCTACATTATAATGATAAATTCCGCAGTTTTTAACTGATCACTCAAGAAGATTTCACCGAATGATTAACAGTTCTGACTAATAAGAAAATAAGAATGGCTATTTACTTGCAGCCATTATATAATGATCAACACTGGGATGCTCTATTCATTATTGTTCTAGTTATTATTCACTGTATAAACATCATGTTCGTCAATATTATTCCTCAACTTAAAAAAATAATAAAACAGTATCATCTCACTATTTTGACAGAAGGCAACAATGGAGAAAAAATACCAAGAATTTGAACGTTCAACATTGTTAATTGTTTAAGACGACTGTCAAGTAAAGAAAAGCAATCTTGTATATTCAACATCCTCATATATCATACAGTAAGAGTCGAAGCAAAACAAGTAGCTGATTGCGGATGATAAACTGACAACGGCGGATAATCGTTTATTGATGATGAAACAACAATTGTCAAACGCTTTAGATTTTCGAAGAGAGCAAAGACATTTGAATACGCATTTCTAGTGCGAACGGGTGGCGATGGGCTATACAGATATTCATCATTATCATGAAGAGTAAGATCTGCTATTTGATGTTTAAAAATGTGTCGAAAGGTTGAGTCATCTAAGTAAAATAATCAACATAATGAAACGCTTCTACATCTTGACCGTTCGAGGATTAAGAACACAGCAATTGGTTACTTTTAAAATAATGAAAACCCGTCTTGTCTCCGAAACCGAACAGTTCCATTAAGAAAGTCAGATTTGGATAATTACCGGCAAGAAGAATGCGTTCCATAGATGTTGTTTTGAGAATGAGTTTTTTTTTATACAATCATGCATTCGAGGTAATATATTATTACAACATCGATCAAGTTTTGAATCTGTAATTGGCCATATTCTAATGAAATTGAGATATTAGTGAACACATCTTTGTTAGGGTCTGACATCTTTACTAAGATAGAGAAACAAACCCTCATGAATAGTTGTTTGTTTTTCTTTTCCTTTTTTCTCCTTTTCTTTAGTGGTAAAATTATCTCCCTGTGTTATGTTCTACATAGGAACTCACTGCCTTATGTTATTTATATTATTATTATGAAATAAAATTATCCTTCGAAATAGGAACATAACAATTGTGTTGTGCTTAAGTGCGAAGTCGTCTATTATTGATTCCGAATAACGAATAAAGAACATCAATATTGTCGAGTTTCTTCAACATTATAATTAATATTTCATTCGACAGATTAAGAAGAGGAATATTAAATTGATTCGTTCTTTTCTATGACTGTCAATTTCGAACAAATATACAATTATACTTATAGAAGCTTCGCTTTTATATAACCATTTCCGTGAACAAAGAATGCAAGGCTTGTTCAGAATAAAGAGCAAAATGCTTTGCCAACGAATCGTCCAATATGATTATCAATAGACGGTGTTCTTTTCTCACTGATAAGAAAATGAAGGACGCCATGTTAAGCAAAGCAGAAAATTCGTCTAATGAATAGTAGTTTTAAAGGGTGTATACTAAGCTCTTCTCTGGAACTTTAAACTCAAAGGATCAATTATGGTCATTAGATTGAGGCAAATAAAAAAATCGAAATATGAATATGCGCATTAAATAAAAAGTTGGCTGAATTAAATGTTGTTGTTAACATTATAATTATTATTATTTCTTCGTAATATTGTGGTATATGTAAGTGTTGGTGTTAATCGTAGTGCTGGCAAGCGGAGAAAAGCGTATTTCTGTATTTCCGTATTTCGAACATACTTGGAAATACATAGAAATACTATATTTTTCCTAATGATTCAGTGGTAAGCGCGTTCACTCCCATATTTGTTTTCGACATACTCGTGCAAGAAATAGTGTTTATGAAGAAGTATCAAAAGCTGCTTTCCAGTAATTTCTTTCTAAGATACAAACAACTTTTATCTACATCGAAAAACTCGTCCTCCTTAGCTAAATATGACTTCTTTTTATCGAAGAATCGGAAGTGAGCGTTACTTTAATAGATAATGAGAAACGGACAATTCTTAGGGATAATTTTTTTCGCTCCAGATAAGGTGTTTTAAGAAAATATTAATTTCTTTAAAATTTTATCAAAGATTTGGGGTCGAAGATAACAATGCTCAAATCTGTTTTTTTCCTATTTGAATCTGACTTTTTATTAGAAAAAGCGTTTTTTCTACAACATTATGTTTTTGTAAAAATTTTTCTATTGAAAAATTCAAATTCAAAATTTTGAAAATCTGTCTTCACAGGTGGATTTCTTGACTTCGAAAACCTTTCATCAAACTTTATAAAGTAACATCATTCTGCTAAAAAAAGCCTTTTCGTAGTGAAAAAATCGAGTACACAATTTTGAAAAACTAATTAAAGAAATTCGTATTTCACGAATTTGTGTACTTGATTTTTTCACTAAGGAAAGACTTTTTTAGCAAAACAACGTTATTTTAAAAGTTTAGTGAAAGGTTTTCGGAGTCAAAAAATCCTCCTGTGAAGTCAGATTTTCAAAATTTTGAATTTGGCTTTTTCAATGAAAAGCTTTTCATAAAAAAAGATTTTATGAGAATTTCAGACTCAAAATTAAAAAAACGGATTTTAGATTTGAATTTCCAGGCCCCGACAACCGTTGATAAAACTTATGCCCAATAATTTTCGGTTACCCATTATCTGTTTAAGTAACGGTAACTTTGTATTACTAGTATTTCTAAGTATTTCTGAAATACAGAAATAGACTTTTCCCCCTTGCGATTACCATACTCATTGCTTACTTAATCTCCGAAAATAAATTCTTTTGAACTCATCTCCAAGTCAAAAAATATTCATGTTGTCTATTAGAGTTAAATAGGTGACGTCATAGGAAAGAGAAAAAGAGGGACGTCATTCTTACAATATATTGGCCACTGTTCTCTATGGATGTGTTTAAAAATGTGTGAATAATACAACGCTCAAGTACATTATTGATATAATCCATTTCAATCGAAGGTGAGATATTTATGCAAATTTTGTTACATGTAATAATACGGTTTACTCTGATTCGCTTAGTTTCAATCTCGGCAGACATAGATATAATTGAAATCGATTTAACCATTACTTTCGAACTGAATACGATAGTTTCTTAGTTTATTACACTAGACCATAAGCATATTCATTGTGTTTATTAAATTTAATATTTATTTCAATTAATGCATATAAAACGAAAAAAATGAAAAAAAAAACAGAAGCGAATTTTTACACAAGTGTTTCTAACGTTGTTGTTGGTACAACTAGATCATCGTTGGATGAACTTGAACTGATACCTGATTCACTTGATGAACGTGAAATATGTCGTATTTTTGCCTGCTGTACACAGGCAGGTTTAGGAATATTTGCATTGATGACTCCTAAACTTGTTCTAAAATCAAAAAATCATTTTTTTGTTCAATAGAGACCAACAGAACATTTTCGTAATTTTCATACCGTTTAGATTGTGATGATGATTTTACATGAATTTCTTGTCTTTGTTGAATTCGTTTTTGAAAATTTTCTTTTAATTTTTCTAAACGTTTCTCAATGGGTATTGATATTGTTTCAATAATATTTGCTGTACTCTTTTCGTTCGATACGCAACGGCCTTGAATATTTTGTACAATAATTTCATCAGCAAATCGAACATGTTTTTTTGATTGTGTCGATTTTTTAGTGTGGATTTCAAATAGTAAACGTCTTGCACATCGTTGTTGATTAAACGAAGCAACAACTTTATAAATACGTGACGCATCATTTATAATTTGTCGCTGACGACCTGTACGAATATAAAGTGCATAATGTCTTGGATCACACAATGGCAATACAGATAGAATGATATCTTGCGCGGTAGTTCGAGAATTCAAGTCTCGAATCCATTTGATAGTTTTTTGCCCATAACAACGTACCGGTATTTCACTAATAAACATAGCGATTGATGAATGAGCTAAATATATGAAATATTCGTTGTAATTTATATAGCACAAAAACAAAATAAAATTTCTAGTGACAAATATAACACTTTAATATAGATAGATAGATAGATAGATTCCATCGTTTTTTAGTCATAGGGAAATTGTTAAAATGTTTATCGAATTAAGAGGTGAGAAGACGAGAGTGTGATGGTCAAATATGATATTATTAACGATCAACGACAAGAGTATTTGAAATTATAGTATGATAATAATCATAATAGTTTGGAAGGTATTTTCCTCAAAATTTCCAAAAATTAACATTTTTTCGTGGTGAATTTAGACAACGCATCGAACCCGAGAACTTCTTGGTCTGTGACTCAGAAATATCATTTTGCAATCTTAAAGCGGTCATTTTGGATGCACTAAGCTTTAATATAAATGTACATAGATACTCGAATCAGCTCTTGTAAAATTCTATTCTTCCAATAAAGCACACTGTCCTACTTATATAAGAAATCTTATTTCATACACTTACATTCCATATGCATGCGATTAAATGATATAGATGAATGTATGCAAGAGCGATCGGTATATATATATATTTGAATTCGGCTGAGTGAGCACGTACAAACTCTCTCTCTCTCTCTCTCTCTCTCTCTCTTTCTCTCTTCTCTAGTCGTAATTGGATTACACTTGCTCTATATCGCACAAACAATCAGATGATTACTATAGGTTGTTCTTCATTCTCTCAACAATGATTGGTAAATTGATTTCCATTTCAAATTTGTACATAACACATCGTTTTTGTTTGAATTTTACTGCTGGTGTATCGTATTATCTTGAGAAAAAGAAAAGAGTTCATTTAGATGCCCAGCTTTCATAGTATCTGGTGAAAATCATTTGACAAAAATGAGCAACACATCATCAAAGTGAGAAGGTGTATATTAAATTACTTCGAATAAAAACAATACAAACGAAAATAAGGCACATGTATAGCATTGAGGTGTTGATACACACCTAAGTGATTGAACATGAAAGAAAATAAATTGTTCATCCATTAGATCGAATAATTTTTTTTGCTCGTTTTCCCTTTTATTGAAGAGGAGGAGCAAAGGACACACATAGATTCTATTTTGCATATTTTCAAGTATGATGTAAACTGAATTCCTAATTAAATGATTTGGAAGTAAAATTTGTACGTGACATTATGATGATTCGGAACATTTTCAATCTCAAGGATTTTGTCTTTCGTTTCTTTTTTTTTTGAAACAATCGCCTTTTATTATTAGTTATATGTTGATTGAGAGAAAACACAAGCCGATTTCAAACTGAATATCTGTATACATATAACATAGCCGATATGGGAAATATCACAGTTATATGTTGATTTGTTCAAATCGATAAATCTCTAAATGACATCATTTCTCTTATGAAATTGAACGTGCTGAAATTAAGTAAATTGAGAGGAAACAAAATGTACGATATTGTTTTATTGTGACGAAGAAATAAATAATGTTGCACATTCGAATCAAATTTTACTGATTAAATCATCATTCTAATGAAATAGTCTACGTTTGGATCATTCACCGATTGTGATTGTTTGTTAGATTGGGTTACGGAAAAAAATCTTCGTGCTGTGAAGAAGGATAAAATAATGATCATCAGGAAAAGGCATCTCGTATCATTTAGCTAACCTTTACTTAACGTTAGTTGAGAGATTTATCTCGCATTATTCTGCTATAGCGTGACGTATAGATCAGTAGCTCGTTAATACTATTTTTATACCTAAATTTTAATGAATGAAACTATACATTTATGGGAGCTCTACAACTGCAGTGATGATGAACATTATCCATTGCTCTGGCTTATATTGACTAAGTTTCTATTAAAAAAACACGCGAATTATGCACAAGAAGAATATAATAGTCCCTTGAGAGTGAGATTATTTGTGAGAAATTAAAGACTTTCAGGTATTTTTGATCCTATTGTATAGGATAAGAAATATCCGAAAATCAATTAGAAATTCGTTTTAAAGATAAAAACACTAGCAATACTTTTTTTTGAGCTAAGAAGAAGTTGATATCTGTTTTTTAATTTTTCTAAATATGTTTAGACAAATGTTAATCACTCTTTGAAATGCTAATTTAGAAGATTGAAATGACAAACTTAAGAGAAAGTTCAACACGCCAATGAAATGACGTCAAGTATGATCTCTATCGAAAGGTCGATGCAAATGTGCGTGGGTAGTTGTTAGCCGTCTCTATCGGCTCTTCTAAACACATTCGAACTCATAAACCTCATTATTTACTACCAAGTTTATTTCCGTACTGAATTTTGTCTCGTGTTTATCATCCATTGTTTGAGCTATTCGATAGTTTTGACGAAAAACTGTTCTTTATTGTCATTTAATTGTTTAATCAAATTGTATTTCATTTTGACAAAATCTATTGATCTATTCAAAATAAATGTCGTTAATATCTCTATTCTAATGAATTCTATCTTTGACACTTGTCGAGACATATCTTTGTTCGTTACTTATCGTTAATAAAAAGGCGCGTGTTTTCTATTCTGTTCGTTAAAATTCCAAATATTATGCGGCAAGAAGGTCAAGAAGAAGAAGATGATGGCGATGAAAATGTATTTGACGATACACCAGATAATTTTGTTTTATGTGCTTTACATCAAGGTGTGAATTTGCTATTTTTTTGATTTTAATTATTCGAAAATTAATTTCTCTTCAGCTAAAATATTACGCGCACGATGGAAATTTTGGTCTGGTTCAGTTCCGGCTAATGTTAGTGTAAGTTTGAATATCGATATTTTCTTCGTTGTTAAGTCTTTCTTTTTTCTCTTGTGCGAAAAGGTTCGTTTGCATCGATTGGAATCACGTTTATCAATCAAGGAAGAAAGTCAACAACGACGATCGACATCAACAACTATTGAACCGAGTTTAGAACCGTTAAAAAACCATTCAATGGATATTTCATCGAATGCATTGCCTATTCCTCTACGTCGATTATCAAAAATGAATTCATCTGAACCTTTTCTTGCGGAAAAAAAAGATTCTATATCCATTGATCAATATTTCAGTGAGAGAATTGAACCGAAACACAATATCATCTTACAAGGGGTAAGAAGGGTTTTTTCGAGAAGAACAGATTTGAAGAAAAATATATTCTTTTATTTTTAAAGCCCGATATTCGACGAATTAGTGTACGAAAACGCCGCTCTCATTTTTGGTGTTGTCATTAGATATTTTTATATGCTGTATTTGAATTGATTATGAACAATAAATTGAAATAATTAAACACAGGAAAAACATTGTATAAGCTTCTCATGCGTGATTAGTCGATTTGGAAACTTGAGCAGTACAAGTTGAAATTTCCAGCAAACACTTAAAGTGACAAAACATAAATTTTGTATATCAATTTCTTGTTATTTATATTGATTATCAAGTTAAAATCATGATATTACAAGCATAGGCTTCACTGTAACACTAAGGCACAAAATTGATTATATATAATGCAAACAAACACAAAAAGAAAAAAATATCTAAAATAAGCAAAATATGGATGGATTGAATCCATATCAATCGAATAGTTTGTCCTTTTTTTTGTTATCTACATATCCGTAAACTCTAAGGCACACAACACATTCATACAATATATCACATCCATGAAGGCGTTGGACACGGCGGATTGAACATGGATTTCATACGGAATGCGCTTTCATTTGAACGACTCATGTCATATGAACGTGTTGCTGGTCCACTAGAACAAAAACAAAGAATGAAGTTTTCATACAGTTCGCTTGAATTTTTACTATCGATATTTCGCTGACTGAGCTTGCCGACCGAACATAAATGGTGTTGGTACCAATCGCTGACTTTCCAGACAAAAATCTTGTAATGTACCTGGCCGAGCACCTAAAATCGTCATTCAATTAATAGTTGCAAATAAACTGCAGTTCAAAGCAAAGTTGTGGCGATATTTACGTTCATTCTACTAAGAGATCGAAATATTTAAAAAGTGGCGATTTGTATCTTTCGAGTATTCGCATGGATAACAAATATTTTCAGAATCTGAGGCATCAGCGGGAAAATATTCCGTACAAAAACATAGCTAAGCAGTTCTAGATTATTCCAAAGTTCTCATTGAAATCTAAATGATTGGATTAGATTTCGTATGCAGACACCGTGAAAGAACAAACGCAATCGTCAATCAACATTAACATATTAGTAGGAGTAGTAGAAGAAGAAACGAACTGCAACGATAAATAGGATAGATCGTTTGCCTGACGGTTGATTGTTCTTTAAAAGAAACTATCAGCTGTTAGAGGCTATGTTTTTTTGCTAAGCATAGTTTATATAAGCAGGATCACGCTAATAGAAAATATGCAAGTACTACATTTTCACTCCGCAATAGTTACACTAAATTTCGGCTGACTTCGATTCATTAGCATCTATGCTGAACTTTGTTGTTAGTCAAAAATAAAAGAGAAATTTAGATTTAAGAAATTGTTGACAATCATGTATCATTTTTTTTCCATGACTCAATCCAATTTGCAGTGAATCAAGGAAACGATTGGACTTTCTCTTGTGTTGGAAGCTTATTGAAATTTGCAAATCAATATTCAGAAAAATATTTTACTAGTCAAAGTTATTGACAGAAACATTGGACAAATTCACTTATACTGGAATTCTATATAAGACATATCATCTCGGAAGATGCTTTTCTTCAATAAATTTCGAATGAAATAATCACCTTTAAATTGTGCATGATCTCTTGATGATGGCGAAGTTAATGTAGGTACACGTGGCATTCTAGAAAATATAGCTTAAAGATAAAATCTCGTTGTTATTCAACATACGAATTATCATAGACTGGACGAAATGATCGTCGTACAAGCGAAGAAACCACTTTTTCCATTCGACCTGATCGTTCGTTTTGCATATTAGGCCCATTGAACCATTGAGATGCGTTATGTATTGGTACATGTACGCGATGTGTTGCTGATCGTCGATAACTAGATGGTTCATGTTCAAAATCGTTGATTGGCGCTGATGAATGATATGCATGTTGTTGTTGTTGTTGCTGTTGCTGTTGTTGTTGTTGTTGTTGTTGCTGCTGCTGCTGCTGCTGTTGTTTAGGTAGTTCGAAAGACGGAGCTGGTGCTTTTGATTGCTCAGGCATAAGAAAAAGTGTTGATTCAAAAAGAATAGGTGATGAACAAAATGCTTCAGCACTTGATGAATCTTTATTTTGTTCTTCTTGTCTTTGTTTTGTTATTCGAACGGACATAGGACGTTCAAGTGTTATTCTAAAAACAATGAACTTACAAATAAGATAAAATGAATATGGGCAAGGCGTTGTTACTCTTCAGTTATGATCACTTTATTGTCATTGTTTGCAATTTCATCTTCACTATGATTTTCTTCGTGGTCGATATTAGACACGGGTGGTGGAGGTGGAGGCGGTGTCGCTTCACGTGGCGGCTCAACAAATGCTTCTCTAGATTATTGAAAAGATATATTATAAATCGAAAAGATTAAAATCCAATGGATATGTACTTTGGCTTTTGAAGATCTATTTAGAGAAGAGTAAATTAAATTTTTTGCAAATAGAAATTCCTATGAAATTCTTACTGATTTCAAATAATTTCGGCACGGTACGTTTTTTTTCAATGGATTCTAATGTCTGATAAATTGAAGAAAAAAAGCATTTTCTCAAAGTTAAGAAGAAATTCTATAAATGTATTATTACTTTTGGTGGTAATGTACGAGGTAGAGGAGCACTTCGGGGTGTTTCTCTTGCTGTTGTTGTCATATGTAACGTTATTCTTTTTGAAGAGAAAAAAGAATGTTTTTTAATCGAGCGCGCCTAATCCCATTGTACATACTTATCACCAAGTGCAAATTTTGGTCGCCAATAATCATGCAAAGAATCCCATTCAAAATGACTCATACTAACATAATTAGTGTGATCATTTAGTGATCCATTTATAATCATTGAACCGTTAACAGCAAGTATATGATCCAATTGAATCATTGCTATGTCACCATCAGGTATGGTAACAATACGTCCAAATGTTTGTGGTGCTGTTAGGATACGATCACCAATAGCTAAAATGTATCTAGATGCTTTAATAGATCATTTATTAGTTACGAGAATTTTTTTTTGTTGTTGCTAAGATATAATCACTTTGTGTAAAGAAGTAGAGAACAATTTTAATTCAAGTATACTTGAAAAACAAAACGTGTTTAAAAGCGTCTTTTAGGCTAAAATTTAAAAATCATATGTTTTTCGCCGTCATTTTACTAGCAGAAAATATGTTAAGTAAAAAAAACTCCAGTTGTTACTTTTCGAAGAAAAAACAAGCTGTCTTATTCATGTCGATGTCTGAAATAAAAGTTTTTTGGTCTTACTTTATGTTTGTTATTTTTCTTAAATTAATTCCTTGAGGACGAGGGTGTGGCTGAAGAAAGAACGCGCAATTTCATGGTTGTTATGCTCTGGATATTTTTTGATAGTAAATAAATTTGATCTAAATTTCGTAAGTTGTCCTACTTCCAATACAAAATAACTCGAAGACCAATCAATTAGCATGGTTATTATTCGCATTAAGGAAAACACGTGCGATCGTCCTTCATCCATTTGAATTTCGAATCATATTTTGGAATTTTCTATAAATGTTTCACTCTGATTGTTTCATTGATATAATGCCTTATGTTTTCCAGGAAACACCGGTCAAACGGAGTTTGATGTCTATGATCCTCTCAGTAGCTAAGAAAGCGTACCTTAATACTCATTAGACGATCGTGCTTCTATTTCTATCGAGCGCAAGACCCCAAAAACTCAGATTGCGAGAAAATCCATCGATCTTATTTTAATAAGTGACCTACCTGGTATACGATGAGCATGTACCCGTTGTGCAGCTTTTGGTGATGCTATAGTTCGTTCTTGTTGTCGTTTGGTTGAACTATCATGTTCCGGTTTATTTGCGTCCTATTACATAAAATATTCTACATATATAGGTTATTTCTGCTACTCGTATTTCACAAACCGCTAGAATTGGTTCATGGATTTTTTTCGTTTTTCTACTTGATAATGTACGTATAGTCATTTTTAGTATATTACCCAATATTGGACTTAATAATTCTTTTTGTTCTTCAGCTGATTTCTAAATAGATTCAAACATTGGGCAAAATAATAAGAAGAATTCGAAAAAAAGCTAATTACCTCGTCAGCACTTAAATTCTGTAAAACATCTTTAATACTTCCATAGGCTGGTGATCGATCTAAAGCTTGTTTTAAAATTGCATTGACATCTAAGATTAAATATAGATTTTACATATACAAGCAATTGTACAACAAATTCATCTCTAAATCAATACTTGAATTATCAACCAGTGTATAAAATAATGGACACATGATAAATACTTGCATTACTTCAAGACAGACGATGGATTTTGCTTCCGAAACTCTAAAAATAAAATGTAAAAATTTGATTGGTTGATTTTTTTATCGTTGTTGTTGTTTCGTACGTGCTGCTATTAGAATAAGATTGATTTGTATTTGAACCTGATGATTGACGCAATTGAGTAGTAATAACAATTGAAAGACTATTAAACAATTTATCATTAAATGCTGATACCTGGAATAGAGAAATTATTTCATTTCGAAATAAATAAATAATTGAATGCTGTTAGCTGTATTTACATGATTTTCGTCTCGATCCAATCGTGCACCCGCATGAACCAATGATGCAATCATATGTCTTAATTCTCCACTCGATGAAAATATTGGATCCATATTTATATTTCTATCCATTTCAATAAATAGACATACAGGTTATAATGACGTATGTGTATAATAAATCATACCCAATGGTTTTTATATGTGTAATATCGAGAACATAATTTAGTAAATCCACAGGAATTTCAAAGAGAATATGAGTCTATATAATAGGAAATATAAAGTTAGTAGGTATGAGCATTGTCATCGGGAGAATTATGAAGTTTAAAATGAAATCTCACTTTATTTTTAGAAGAACAAACGTCGAAAGAATTTCATCAGTGTTCAGAAAGAGTGATGATTTTCTTGTTAATAACTTCACTTATTTAGGATTACGATTATGAAAGTACTGAATTTCTGAAAAAAGGAGGAAATCTGATTATGCTAGGCGACGTCGTACTATAACCGATCTTAGACGATTAGTTAACGATCATGTTTGACATAGAATACCATCAGCAGTGCTCTTATGATTGATTTCATTCTTGCCGTTTGATTTAATTTTCTCCTGAAGAATTTTAGATTAGTGTGAAAATGCTTCTGGTGACCCAAGCAGCACTTAGTTTTAGCGAAAGTCTTTCACGGTTCTGCCTTTGAATATAGTCATTTATATTACTGTTGGTAAGATGTACAAAAATCATTGTATTTTTAACTTCACACATTGCAATTCTACTTACAACAAGTAATATGAGTAACATATTGAATTCTTCGATATGATTCTGTCGTATATCAACCATATGATAGAGTATATGACGATTGTCCGTTAGAAACTCTTCATTTTTTCTAATATATGAATAGACAAGAACGCTATTTTATTTTTGTTTTCAACTTGTTTATATCTTACTTGGTATCATCGTTTCTCATTTCTGTAAGTAATAAATCTTGAATTGTTGCAGCTAAATGTTTGATTCTTCTCTTGTCATGTTCTGTATTGACAAAAGCAAGAGCAGTTTCGTTTAATTTTTAATGAGTATTAATCCTACCTGAATTCACAAAACAATTCATCGGAAATTTAGCAAACAACTCCGTTGCCTATAAAAAATAAAATATTCTAGAGAGTTCTCGACGAACATGTTACTTTACCTTTGACCCAAAAAGTCCATTTGTCGCACGATCTTTTAGATTTGTTGGCATAAATATATCGCGGGATAGTTTATGTCGCTAAAGGAGAACGAAAGTGTTTTTTAATTAGAATTCTTAGATTTTTCTTACCACAGGTTTCAATTTTAATGATGATTGCGTAAAAAACTCATCGATTTGATTACGTTCGGCGGCTAGAAAATGAATTCAATCCGAATAGTTCTTCATTTAACATATAAAACTTACTTGAAACAAAAATACCATCACACATCCAAATACGTGGCAAACAATCAAGTACATGTTGACGATCTACAACTCATATAGATATTTTTATTTAATTAAAAAAAATATCCAATTGCTATTTTTACAATTAGGATCAGCATCTAGTATAGTATTTCCATCAAGTCGTAAGTCGAGTATAAACATATGTCGAATATGTTGTAATTCAATCCATTGTAAACGATTATTTGACAATATAAGCGAACCGAGCGCTATAAAGCGTGATAAATGCTGAAGACTTCGAATCTAAAGGTCAAAAAAAGCAAAGCATGTGATACGAATAAAATAATTTATTAGTGCCTGATTATTTCCAACATCGAGCTTCCATAAATGCTTAATATGTTCAACACCGGCTAATGTTGTTAGGGAGTTACCATTACAAATGAGGATTTGTAAATATTCATATTGAGGCACTTGAAATAAGGTGACTAGAATAAAATAGTTGTTTTTTTTCTCTCGTGTGAATACTTGAAATATTAGAGAGATTAATTATTTAAAAAACAATGATCTATGAAAAATAAATCTTAATCATCAGTTGAGTTGGACACGTTTACGGGGAAGTTCGTCTAAGCGATAAAAAAAATATTTAAATAAGGTTAGACACATGCTGATTATCATTCGGCTTGTCCTAATCGTTTTCTTTTCGATCTTGAAGTAGTAGTGTGCAAGCATTCGGGATATGATAGATTCATTAGATGTCTTTGTCTCAACTATTAAAAGAAGTTGATTTTATGACCTTGAGTTTTACCGCGAAATATCACTTTCAAAATCTATATAGAACCGGATGAGTTTCATTATTATTTCAATCAGATTTATTGTGTATGTTGCCTTGAAATAAATCATAAAGATTTGTGACACAGAAATTGACAGGAGTAGCGACAATATTTATGAAGTTTTATTGATTTCATTAGAATCGTTCTTTTAACGTTCCTCTTAAATTCTACTTTACCTATCAACAATAAAGTAGACAGAAAAATCCAAGTTTATTTGCATTGATTGCCTATTGATAATCTCATATTACCTCGGCGTACTTTAATAATTTTTATATTGAAAAATTCAATTGCTTTGCGCTTTTGTTTATATTCGAGTTTTTCAATTTATTTCTCTATAAATAGAAGTTAACTTTTGCCGAGTACTCTTAAAAATCTCAAATGACTTTTTCTTTTCGATTTATTTTTCGAAACATCTCAGAAAACAAAAAAGACGAAAAATTTACTCATATGATTTAATGATATTCATAAAACGGTCCTTTTATTTATTTTCAAAAATGAATTAAAATATTCAAGTATAAATCTTACTTATTCTTGTATTATTAAAATTGGCATAATTACTCTTCTCCTCGTCAGGGTTGTTTCTATTTAATGGCACCTGATATTGAACAAATAAAAATATTTTATAATTGAAAAAAATAAACTTTCAACAAAATAAAAAACTCACTCGAGCAGGGGCCTTCATAATTATCAACTGAACATGATAAATTAAAGTAGTCTAAAAATTTTATAAAAAAATAGCTGAAAAAGAAAATCACTATATTATTATTATTATTATTATTATTATGTTCGATGAGTTTAATAAGGCACGAAGAAAGGAGGTAGGTGCCAGATGAGATAGAATTTCAATCAATCAGCTGTTCTTCGTATATTTGAATGACTCGATATAAGACATCGACGAGAGAATATCCATTCATGTAATCTGTTTCCTAGCAACTGCCTTCGTTTTACTATGGAGAGAAAAGGAAAAACGACATTTGCGTCTATTTGGAACCCTACGATAGTAGCGCTCATATGAAGATTCGCTAGAACGAGCACAGACATAGGTTGTTTTTAATGGAACATTTATAAATAGACTAGATATAATATATAGGTTAATAATAATTTTGCCTCGAAATTTTGTTTACTGGTGAGAATAAGTGGGACACAATGACGGAAAGTGTTCGTCAACGGAAAAAAATCGATGAATCTAATGTTCAACCGTTAAATGATGATGAAGATGATGTCAAGCGACGTATTACAATCGATCGATACGATCATGAAAATCGAAATCAATCATCAATAACAATATCGTAAATAAAATTTTCGGCTCTTTTCCTTAATTATTTACATGTTTAAAAGAAAATTATCAATCATTTCATTTGTTCTGTATCGAGAAAATTTCTATTGGAAATCTAAGAGCATTTAAATTCCTAGCGCCACTAGTGGTAAGTTTAATAGAGCAATCTATATTTATATTTAGGCAAATATCTTTGGGTATAATAGCAGTATTGATGATTGTTCTATTGATTTTCATAAAATTTGGTTTACCTCATGAAGATCATATGACAAAACAGTAAGAATCGAAGATTTTCAAAAACGGAAATATTTTTAGTTTACAGTTTCGTTTAGTTTTCCAGCTTCATTACCAACAATGGACGGTGGACCTTTGCTAGTCAATGATTTTCTGTCTCATAGTGAACGAATTCATGTTGGTGAAGGACCAGAATCAATTGAACCGTTAAATGGTAAATTTTCTTACTTGGTACAAATCAAAACGACTTCATTATCTATTAGGCTTACTTTACACGGGTTTGAAAAATGGTTCAATTGTCGAACTTGATCCTATTAGTAAAAAAACTCGCATTATCTATTCTTCACTTAGCGTTGATGATCATCTACTCAACTGTGGTAAGATTAATACCTATGAGTTCAATCTATTAAATAATTTTAAAATTTATATTTCAGGACAAGATAATCTCGAACATGTATGTGGCCGTCCATTGGGTATTCGTCGTTTTTCCGATGACGAACTTATCATTGTTCAAGCATATCATGGTATATTTAAACTTAATGTAAAAACAAGTATGTTGTTAAAAACAAAAACGAAAAGATTTTGCTTTGGACAAACATCGTTTTATAACATTGAATTGTATGAATGAATTTGCTTATAGAGAAACTAACTCAACTTATCAGTGGCGATGATAAGCGATTTGGTTCTCGACCATTACGCTTTGTTAACGATGTTGATGTCCTCGATGGACGTTATCTATTTTTTACTGATTCTGATTGGCTTTATCCACGAAAAGAATTCATGACTGTTCTACTACGAGCTAATCCTCGTGGAAGGTAAATTAGATGATTAGTTTTCTTTTTCTAGACTAATTGTCTAGTTTAGATTGATTCGTTTTGATATTGCAACTGGTAAAGTACGTATTCTTGATGATCAACTTTCATTTCCGAATGGTGTGCAATTATCTGCCGATAAACTATCAGTATTAGTATGTGAAACAACATTAGCTCGAGTCGTTCGACATTGGATCGGTGGTGAGAGTAAAACAATTGGAAAGACTGAAGTATTTATTGATAATTTACCTGGCCTTCCCGATAATATTCGTTTGACCAGTACAGGAAACTATTGGGTTGCCTTTGCTGTTGTTCGACATAGCGATACAATTAGTTTATTTGATTATTTACGCAATTGGCCTCGACTACGAACAATACTTTCCGTAAGTTTTGAACAAACCTTATCGACAGATAATTGATATTCTATTTTCAAACATTTGCTCACGTTTTTCTTTAGTTTATGCCGAATGTAATCAAAAAAGTACAAACACGTTTACCACAGCATGGTCTTGTTGTTGAACTAAGTAAAGACACTCGTCATATTGTTCGTTCGTTACATGATGCTGAAGGATTAGTTGTTTCGTCAACTTCACAAGTTACTGAATACAATGGTCATCTTTATTTTGGCTCATATTATCTAGAGCATATTGCAGTTTTCAAACTCTAATTAGACGAATTTTTTAAACTTATTTATGTGCTCATTTGTTATACCAATATTTTGCAGTTGTTTTTCTGTTTCTTTCTTATCATTTATGTTAAATCTCGGTTGACGGGTCAAACGTGTAGTCAAGCATGCGTTTTGTTTTCTAGATTATGCTTTCGTGTTTGAAAGGTGCATGTTGCTTGCGGTTTTTGCAAGGCACAACTTATCCAGATGTTATCGTGTCTCATCGACCTGAAGTTACACTGGATACATCACGAATGGGCCAAGATGTCGTCGTAGTCAAAAATGGACGACGTCTATGTGGCACTGGTGCCGCTGTTGCTGTGAGTTGTTATTTTTTTTCGCGATGGTTCATTTTCAAAACTTTTCTTCTGGTTTAGAATGCGCCAATCGTACAGAACAAAGCATATTTTGAAGTTAAATTACAAACTCAAGGTTCAATAACGACGTCTATTTATAAGCTATCTTAGTTTTTTTGTTAACTAATAGGTAATTGGGGTATAGGCTTAGCAACTCGACGAGTAAATTTATCAAAAGTCCCATTAGGATATGATGGTGAAGCATGGATTATGGATCAGTATGGTCAAGTTAAACATGAAAATAAAGTATTGAGCCAATTCAGAACTAATATAGAAGAAGGTGATGTTGTGGTAAGTAGAATTTATATTATCATGAAAAACTGAAAGTCTTTTATTTATCAAATGAATTACTCTTTAGATTAATAGTAACAGGATATAAAGTTTCTGGGAAATCAAGACTAACTATTTGATTTGAATCAAAAGAGTTTTTAAATAAAATTCATCTGATAGAAAATCTATTTCTGAGTAGCATCGGAATTGCTATTTTGAGTTAATAAGAATCGGAAATACTTCGTCCTTGACATTTATGCATTCTATAAATAACATTCTGTCGAACTGATATTGGTACTGACTCTTCCTACTCTCTTCTAAGAGTAATACCCGTTTATAGCTTTATTACTGTTATACAAACAACATCAAGATTAGCCAATAGAATTTGAATATCGACAAAAAGTATTTTGTATTTCAAATCAATCCTAAAACTTAGCCGGAGAAGTTTTATTGAAGTTAGAAGTACGGTTCGAGTTCAAATTGTGGAAGTTCTACTATCAATATAAGGAAATTTTCAGATACAAACGAGGCGTCATTATGTGGAAAATTCAGTACAAGGATATTTCAACACGGTATCTATTCTTATCAGATAGAAAAGATAATACTAGTAGTAGTTGTCGACATAATTGTATAGATAGAAATAACATCATTAACAGGATCAATTCTAATCAATACAACTTCATATTCAATCATGTCGATCTAAAGAGTGTTGATATAAGAGAACTTGAAAAAGAAAACCTCATGCACTAAATTTTAAGAGAATTTCTTTATAATGAATTTCTTTTGCTTTTGTTTTTCGACAGGGTTTCGCATATGATCATGATACATTTCGCATTTTTGTGAATGGAACCGAACAAGAACCATCGTGTCGTGTAACAATACGTGGTACTATTTTCCCTATTTTCTACGTTGATGAAGGTCAATATTTATTTAAGAATACAGCGAATTCATTGAAAATTTGTGCTCTTTTACTTTTAGGAGCAATACTTGATATTCAATTTTCAACATTTTATTTTCCTCCACCGGAAGGCTACGATCGTATCCTATTAGAAAAATCACTCATATAAAAATTATGAACAAATTATAAGTATTTTTTGGTTTCTGAACAGTGACTAATTGTCTGTATATAGACTTTTTCATGCGCTTCAATACTCATTGATCTTTTTGTTTTACTGATTATTCAGATATTTAATATATTTGCTGTTTCTCTTTTTTTCGCGAACAAAGATCTTCTATAAATATGTTCTTTTCAAGATGTATCGTTTATGTGTTCGTCGTTGTGCATCAACATTTTCACTTCGGTATACGACGATAAATGAGCCGATCCTTGAATATCGACGTAATAGTAATGAAATACAACAAGTGCAAAAGATTCTCGAGGAATATCAATTAAAAGTAACACGTATTCCATGTATTATTGACGGAAAAGAATTTTGGACAAATGATATCCAAAAGCAAGTTCTTCCATTCGATCATCAACATGTGCTAGCTGAATATTGTTATGCGGACAAATCAATTATTCAAAAAGCTATCGACCGTGCAGCTAAAAACCAAGCGACTTGGAATGCAATACCTATCGAGCAACGTGCTAATATTTTTCTTAAGGTTGCATTTGCTTTTTTTTCTTTGGAGTTAATTGGCGAGAAAAAGATTAATGTCTTTTCGGCCTAATTTAGGCAGCTGATCTTGCCGCTGATTTAAAATGGCGATCTCGGTTAGTTGCTTCGACTATGCTGGGTCAAGGTAAAACTGTTTTTCAAGCAGAAATCGATGCCGCTTGTGAATTAATTGATTTTTGGCGTTTCAATGTTCAACATATGGCAGCAGCAATGGCTTATCAACCAACAAGCACACAAGATTCTGATAATAGTTACGGATATCGAGGTCTTGAAGGCTTTGTTGCTGCTATATCCCCATTTAACTTCACTGCTATCGGTGGTCATCTTGCTTCCGCTCCAGCTTTCATGGGCAATACTGTCGTATGGAAACCATCGGATGCTGCTGTACTATCAAATTATATAGTCTATAAGATTCTTGAAGAAGCTGGTCTACCTCCTGGTATCATTCAGTTTGTACCATCGAGAGGTGAAGATTTCGGTCGAACAATTACTCAATCACAAGATCTTGCTGCTATTACATTTACTGGTAGTACAAAAACGTTTAAAGTAAGTCAAAACGATTAATACGAAGTGCACAGAAATGTGGATGTTTTTGGAAAAAATGCAAATGATCTATAGCTTTTGAATCAGAACTAAATGCATCACGTGGGTCTTAATGATCTATGAATGATCGTGCTTACCCTAAACAAAAATAAATGTTCCTAGTTCTATCGAAATACATCACCGTAAATGAAAGTAAGTTTCTCTATAGAAAGTAGAACAACATTCACTGGATTGTTTCTAATAGGCGTGAATTCGTTCCAATATCCTTCTTCCTTATCACTAAAAAAACTAAAACATTCTTTTTCAACTAGGAACATTTCAAATAAAACACATTTTAGTGCATGGGTATATTTTATCACAGCTCTTAACTGGATGAACCACACACGCAAACTAATTTCCTTTCTATCCAACACTGCCTTTGCTATGCTAGATGCTTTTTCGGACTTTCCACGCTTTTTTTGTGAGTATGAACTTATATCGTATATCCATCGAACAGCAAACTACGAAGCATTATTCTCATAATTTACTGTTAAATTCTATTTCTATAGACTCTATGGAAATGGGTAGCAGAAAATATCGATCACTATCGAACATTTCCTCGTTTAGTCGGTGAATGTGGTGGTAAAAATTTTCATTTAATTCATCCATCAGCTGATATAACAACTATCGTCAATGGAACAATACGCTCAGCTTTCGAATATAGTGGACAAAAATGTTCTGCTTGCTCTCGTGTTTATTTGCCACGATCATTATCGAATGAATTTTATTCACAAATGAAAACAATTATGGAAAAGCAATTACGTATTGATACACCGTTGAAATTCGATACATTCACGTCGGCTGTTATTGATCGTAATTCATTTAATCGTATTAGAATGTATATTGATTATGCACGAAAATCATCATCAACGAAAATTATTTTTGGTGGAGAATGTAATGATTCCGTTGGCTTTTATATACAGCCAACATTAATTGAAACGGCCGATCCAAATCATAAATTAATGCAAGAAGAAATTTTTGGGCCTGTTGTTACTGTCTACGTATATGATGATAAAAAATATGATGAAACTGTTAATTTAGTGAATCAAACATCCAATTATGCTTTAACTGGTTCCATTTTCTGTCAGGATAAAACTATCCTAGAGAAAACTCGTGATCGTCTAGTAAATGCAGCTGGTAATCTCTATTTAAACGATAAATCAACTGGATCGGTTGTAAATCAGCAACCATTTGGTGGTGCACGTTTATCCGGTACGAATGATAAAGCAGGTGGTCCCCATTATATCTTTCGTTTTTCTTCTCCATTAGCTATAAAAAGTATGAAAGTACCATTGACAACATTTAAACATGTTTCAATGGAATGAGATCTTTTTCTTTCCGCTCCTACTTAATCTCGTTTTTGAAATTATTCCATTTTTCTCTTTTGTGATCTGGCAACTTTATTTTTATAGTTTCAATAAAGACTAACTGTTTTTCTGATTGTGACTTTATTAATAAAATGTTGTAATTTATTTAATAGCACATTTTTTTCTACCAAATAAATATACTTGTATACATTTTATCTATTTTCTGACAGTTGTCTTCGTCGTAATTTCACTGAATCTTTCACCAATGAAACACGTAAGTAGTTCACATCGAATAACGGAATGTGATTTTAAGAATAATATGAAATGAAATTAAGATATCTATAGGGCTATGAGATTTTCTTTCTAGAATAAATCATACATCATCAGTCAAACATTTAAGATGTAATGAGATCATTTTTGTGTACTCACTTTTTGAGTACACTGTCGATTGAAAGCCTCATCCGATTGTCTTGAAATTTTGTACACAGAATGATCTCATCAATATCTCAGTCGAGAAGGATCCGTCGTCAAGAAATGGCTGAGTTATCGAAAACATTGTCATTATTGACCAGGCCATCCCTGAGGCGGGGGGGGGGGGGGGGGGGGGGCGGGTTTTTTGAAAAGTGTTTNACCCCCCCCCCCCCCCCCCCCCCCCCCCCCCCCGCCCCCCCCCCCCCCCCCCCCGCCCCCCCCCCCCCCCCCCCCCCCCCCCCCCACAGGGATTTTTTCAAAAGAATTTTTCTTTCTCAGAATTATTCAAAACATATATAAATCGACTCCGTTTTTGCAGTACAGGTAACAATCGGATGCGAATCCGATGTTTCGTCATTTTTTTTTGTTTATTTACGATGATTATTTTCAGATTCATTTTAGAATCATAATAACAACAGTTGGATCGTATCGTATCTATGTTTTAGTATATGGTGGTCAAATTCATGAAAATGTGAAAATTGATGTTAAAGAAGAACGCGGTCTTTTTGCAACTGATACTATTGAATCTTATGCTGCTCTCGTTACTGTACCCCGGTCATTAATAGTCAACAATCAACATTCTGATTTATCGATTTTTAGCACGGACACGGAACGGCAAGGTCTGATGATGTTTCTCATACGCGAATATATGAAGGGCGATGCATCATTTTGGTTTCCTTGGATAAAACTTTTAAATATTGATAAAGAAGCTGATGAATTATTAAAAATAAAAATGCATCTATTCGATTGTGTAGAACATAGTACATTGGGTCAAGCATTAACAGCTCGATATCAGCAACTTCAAGAAGAATATCAACAATTAAATTTCAGTGAAACAAATTTTGAATTATTTTGTGCTGTTGATCATCTTGTTTGGTCTCGAGTACTTGATTTACCTGAAAGTGAACCTCTTTCATTAGTGCCGTTTATCGATTTTGCTAATCATAGGTATGTTATTCTATCTGCGATGCACATTTTCTAGACGCATATTTATCTATTAGTTTAAATGCTAATGCACGTTGGTTTCTTGACGATGAAACACGTAATTTAATTCTTCGGTCCGAACAAATATTAAAGCCAGATGAAGAAATTACAATTAATTATGGATTAAAATCCAATGAAGAATTATTATATTTATATGGTTTTACTCTATCCGACAATCCAAATGATCGTGTTACGTTACCAGTTAGTTTACTACCTGATGATGTTCTACTTGCTGATAAACTACGATTAATTCAAGAATTAAATTTACCTCCACGATTGACTTTAAATTTCAATGGTCATCTTAATGAACAATCAAATCGTTTAGTAAAAATTTTAAGTGCACAAACGCATACGACTATTGATACAGAAAATGAATATTATAAACCGTATCTTCTCAATCTATTTAATGAATATCTTAACGAATTGAACGTGTGTTCTGATGATGAGAAATTTATTAAATATTATCTTGATAGTCAAAAATTCATTGTTAAAAAAGCGATAGATAATTTGAAATAAAAATTTAAACCGTTTTGAATATGATTTCTATTATAGAAAAACCTGTTTGATGCCAGCTCAACTGTTAACCTAGTGCAAAATCACGCTTCCATCTATTGAATTATTCTCACTATGATCAAATAGCCAAACAGATCAGAAAACGACTAGCGTCGACTACTTCTGGAAAATGACCAAACCTATGAAATGAGTACTATGCTCACGGTTGAATTAAAACTAATATATTTATATGCATAAATAAGATATATTTTTATTTCAAGAAGTAAAAAGGCCTTAAGAAACTGCGCAATTTTTTAAGAAGTAAATATCCAGCCGAAATTCACAATGGAACAACCATGCCAACACTAACAGTATGATCAGGTGAAAGATGTAGATTTTTTTGACCAAATGGAAATACGTTTTTCAATACTGAATATATAGATAGTACCAATTTGCTGGGTAATGTACGCCATCCTTTACGTATAACACGAATAGTTATTGCTGGAATAAAAAATGTGATCTTATGACCATCCGGCACTGGAACATGATATTCAGTCGCGGCTAATTGTAAACTAAATAAAATAATTGAATAGACGAAAAGAAAATAAGATTAACTGACATGTCAAATAAATGAATTTTATGTTCTGAATATCCATAACGTGCTGTAATATGATAAAAGTGTCGTTCATCTGTACCATATTTTTCAACTTTCAATCGATGAGTAAGATCAACAATTGGTATTCGTGCATATTCTAATTTAAGAAAGATTGCTACTTCAGGAAGCTACCATCATATAGAAAAAAAAGCTAAATAAAACGAAATTCTTCTTCGTATTAACCTACCGCGTGAATACGTGCTAATACACGTTCAAATACATGTGGTGTATGTCTGGATGATGTTGTTAGAAAAACACCGAGACCAGGTGTCACTGTAAATGCAACGTTGCCTGTTGAACTAATACGAAATATATTGTTGTCATCGTCAGAATCATCAATGAATTCAAAACGATTATTATCGGTCGTATCAGTATTTGTTAATGATTCTGGAGGCATGTTAACCTTTTCATTTGTTGTATCGTCATCTTCTTCATCGCTACTTGCTGTTTGATAATCGAGTAATAAACTTCCTGACCGTTTGAATTCTTCATGTTTTGACTCTTGTGTTAATTTACCATTTAAATCCGAGAGACCGAGCCGAACCGGTAATTGAATAAGAGTTGTTGTTTGAGCATAAAAATTAAGATATTTACGAAGTAATGTTTGACCGTAATACCAAGAAAAACCAAAAATAAAGAAAACTATTGCAATTAATAAAGCTACCCAAGCACCTAAAATAATCATACATGCATATATATTTTTTTTTTAATAAGTTAGGAATAAAAGCGAACCTTCAAAAAATTTAACTACATTAGCCGAAAGAAAAGTTATATCAATAATAAGAAATGTTCCAAAAAGTGCAACACGTATCCAATGATTATTCCATACATAACGCATAACACACATATAAAGTATTGATGTTATTAACATATCTGAACATACCGTAACACCATCTAAACAAACAAATCATCAGTTTCATGTCTCATCGTAAATGAAATTCTTTTCTCTAATTACATGCATGTGCTAATTGACCACTACTACGAAAATAAAGAGTGATAGATATTGTCATCAATAAAATAATCCAATTAATAGCCTTAAATTGAAAAACAAATCCGTTTTTCAGTTTGCTTCTAAATAATACAAAAAATCGATCGTACCGGGACATATATTTGCCCAATCACTTTTTTGCTTGTATGTATAACACGTAATGGCGGTGAAAAGCCGAGCGATGCTGCTTGACTAATTAAAGAAAAAACGCCAGTAATAATCGCTTGAGAAGCGATGACTAAACATAATCGATAATAAAATAGAAATCAACATTCAAGTATTCATTTCGATTTACTAGTTGCCATCGTTGCAAGAATAATTAGTGGCCATCGAAAACATGCTGGACCAGCATTATAGAATGGATTAGAGATCATTTCAGGAGAATGCATAATCAATGCTCCTTGACCAAGATAATTCGCCACTACAGAAGGTAATACAACACATAACCAACTAGTTCGAACAGGTCCTCGACCAAAATGACCTGGTATGCATAGTTTAAATATCGCTTGTCCTGAAAATCGTTTATGCTTTTATAATCTTACCCAAATCAGCATAAAATGCTTCAAGACCAGTTACTGACAGAAAAACTCCACCTATAAAAAACAGAAAAGCTAGAAACATAAAATTTTGAATTCGTTTTTTTGCTTGTATTACCAATCTGCATAAATCCTTTTTGTTTTTCTCGAATTAAATAACTTACAGCTTCCCAAGGATTAAATGCTCGAAGTATCGAGGGATCAAATGTAATGCGCCATATGCCAATTGAAAACAAGACAACAAACCAAACGATCATGATGGGTGCGAAGGTTAAACCTAATCATTCAAAACTATTTTTTACAATATGTTAAATCAAAACCAAAACTCGACTACCAATTTTGGATGAACCAAACATTTGCACGAAAAAAAGAATTACAATTATAAAAACTGTTACTGGCAGAATCAATTTCGTTAATGCTTGAGATGTGGTCGCTAAACCTTCGACAGCTGATAGAACACTAATAGCCGGTGTCAGTGCACCATCACCTAAATACAAAAAAAATGCTTTTTTCTAATACCATTATGAAAAAAAAATCATTACCAATTAAAAGCGAAGCAGCAAATATCGACACTATACTAATCACATGTTTAGCACGCGCACGTAATCGACTATGTTCACCTGTCAGTAAAGCGCATAGAGCAAATGTTCCACCTTCACCACGATTGTCAGCCATCAGTATAAAAATACCATATTTTATTGATGCAACGATAATTAAATTCCATATAACTAGTGATATAGCACCTATACATTGCTGTCGTGTTGGATGAAGATTGTCAGCAAAAATTGTGCGAATAACGTACAACGGACTCGTGCCAATATCACCAAAGATAATACCGAGTGAACCAATAGTTAATGATAAATACAAGCGAATGCTCTTGCATGACGAACCTTTTGTTTTATGTTCAGAATTTTCTGATACGGATAAAGTATTTTTTTCCTTATCATTTTTAACACTTCCATTCGTATGAATATTACTGATTAGATCTTATAGACAAAAATAATCGACTAGAGGATTAACGTAAATGTTTTTAACCTACTTTGAACCATTCCGACTAACAGGAGAAGAATGAAATGAAAATATCTAGCATGGACGAATAAGCAACTATATAATAAACATTGAGGACAAAATAAAAGAGATATGTATCACGTTTTAGATAGAGAACGAAAGTAGGCGATAGAGAAACATAGCGTCGCCATTCAATCGAACTGTCCGACATTCATATGCAGAGATAAATCTGACACAATTCTTGGTAAACAATATAAATCTATGTATATCGTAATATCATCTTAAGAGTACAAAATCATGTTGAAAAAACAAATTTATGTCGTAGGACTTAATCGTCATCGATTTTTCTTTCGAATCTCTATTGTCAAGGACACGAATTATTTTATCATGTTACTAACATGAATGAAGTCTATACTATTTTTTCTGCACGTTATACATTGTTTTTGAAACATGTGCAGTTTAATTCTCAACCAAATGGTGTACAGTACCCATGCATGACTCTTGCCAACCAAAATCAAGCCTTTTTGTATGAGGTGAAAGATGAACAATTACGATATACTATATTAACGACAGCATGGTAATTAAAATAAGAATGTTAATTATTTTAGATACTCGATCGCAAGCTACTAGTGAAGATCAAAATTAAAATGGCTAAGGTCATGTGAAACTATCCTTCAAAACTATTAAGACAAAAAAAGAGGTGATAATAGTATTATCATCAACATAGCAGAAGTAAAATCACAAACAAAAACAGATATGGAGTATTCAGATTAGACGTGCAAGATAATTTCTGATAGTATTTTTTTCATACAGCTGAGTTATTTTGTACGTACTGCACCCATATGTTTGTTTTATTAAAAGTTTGAGCGCGCAAAGATCATGTTTTCATCTGTGTACGTATTTGAAATAATTTTCTATACATATTATAGATGCGCGTGAGGGAATGTTTTTTTGTCTTCATGCTATTTGTTTCTTGTTCCTCCTGTAACAGTCGCGATTGAATTATGCTGTTTGCCAGCCCGAATGATCTTGGATGATTTGTAATTAAAATGTCTTTGAATTTCTATTGTTTTTTTCTTTACTTTTCTCATCGGTTTCGCAGGAAACAATTCTTTTTATTCGTGACGATTTAAGCTTAGATATTACTTTTTTCGTCGCTCACCAATGGAAACAATAGAACGTTGTTTGTAAACTCTGCGAGTCGACCATTTAATCATATCGCCTTCGGCAAGTGTGTTTTATAACTTCAGTCTTTCTTTCTGAGAGAGAGAAAGAGAGACTAAGATATATGTCATTGTTTAGGTTTAATTGAGAAGAGGGTTTAACTCAGAAACAAATGAAAAGCTACTGGTTTCTCGTACATACTTGCTAAAGCGATTAGAACCTTTTTTCCAATCATTTCGATTTATTAAAAAAAAAGGAATCTAAACGAAACATCTTCACGAGTATATTCGAGAGCGAATCATTGTACGCGATGATTGTCCTGAACGGCGACATAAACATTACCATTCCGATCGAAGGATGAATTCCTGAGGTGCTAGAATTGATGTATTCCTGCTCCTAGACCCTTTTCATCCACATCCTCAAGATAGATTCCGCACCATTCACTTATTCAATTGACAACTTAGTAATAATGGCAACGTTAGACAGTCGTATTAAAGATCGATTCTTTGATAGGAATTTATTCGCCAGCAGATCCACAGACGAAGAATCTATTTAAATTGAACGATGTTCTTTCTGGATTTGCCTATTTCTATTCATGGCGAATATAATCATCCTACTGATTTACGACAGCCTTGGAACGCAGACAACGATGATTACTACAAAAATTCCTACTTATTCAACGTTCAGCGCTTTACTAATACAATATCCGGATGTACTTCAATGCCCATATCCAACTCTATCTACGCCAATATTAAAGCTCGTTCAAATAAAGTCGATATATCACCAGGTATAAATTATTTTTGAGTGACCTGGGCATTAGAGAAAGCTATCACAGTTCATAATTGAACTAACGTAAGTATAGACTGTAGATTTCTAGAAGAGCTTCCGTAAGTGACGCCTAAGAGACTGATACAAAAGCAAACCGTTCTTATCTGATTAGGTAAACCTGACTCATATTAAAATTGCTGTTTGAGTTATGGCTTTGACTAAAATAGTCAAGTTAATTTCAAATCAAATAGAATGGTTCTTGTGTCGAAATTTTGATCTACTAATATAGATGTAATGTCACAATTAACATAAACGAACAATTATTTGAGAGAAAGTAATCCTAATAATTTTTCTGGATTTTTTTTTGATGAAATAAAATCCTTGCGTCAATTCATTATTCTATTTATACACTTCAGCGATTTATAAATAATATCACAGATGTGACCATGCAATAGCCTTGCCTACACTAAAAAGATAATGCGGCATTAATTCGAATTAAATATACGCGCGTCTACACTTATAAGTTTAATGCATCAATCAGAATTGAGAAGTAACCGCTACAATGTAGTATGAATGTATAAACTTAGCACATGTTTAGTAACGAAAAAGTCGCTTCGATCTCTTTTCGATGATTAATGACAAATGACGAAGTTTGTCACCAAAGTATCTACTTTTCTAAGGTTGCGACAATTCAAAACTCGAGCACATTTTATTTTTCATTCATTTAGATATGGCTAGATAGAGCTCGTCGAGCTCTACCAAACTGTATATATGAAAAAATTTTAAGTGCATCTCTTAGCTTAAAATACGGGAAAATCTCAATTTTCGACTTTCTTTGCAAAAAATTCATAGTTTTCAAGGGGGTTCGCGTTTGAAGAGATTCATATTGTTTCACAAGTCCTAAAGACCTCTTTTCTAATGCATCATGTAAAACTGTATTTAGCCGTATGAACATGAAAACGATCTGAGAATCTCTGGATGCTCCAGGATCCTAGACTGTCAGACCTGAATGATCGTTTGAACCAATCGATTTGAGTGTGTTGCAAAAGCATCAAATCTTGCCAGCTTTTGTTTTTAACCGATGCTTCTACTCTATTTTATTCATCTTGAGACTGCGAAAACAGTTAAGCATCCGTTTAATTTTATGTATTAACAGTCTTGAGAAAACCAGTTTTACAAGTATCTTTTAGACAGAAGACCAAAAGAAGAAAAACTAACTATAAATCTACAGATATGTGTCCAAAGAAAAAATTCAAAACTAATCTTCAAATTCATTTACAATCGCACGAAGTTTACTTCTCTTGAAATCATTCATAATTGATATCTATAAGTTTTCGTCAATTTTTCATATTAGAAAAACGGCAGAGAGTTGAATCAAAATTTCAGTTTAATGAAAACCAAAAAATAAAGGCAAACAAGAAAAACAGCCGGACACAAATGCGAACGAGACAAGCAAATAAAAATTGTTTTTTTTATTGTTGTTGTTGTTGTTGACGTCGTGCTTGTTCTAAATAGAAAACGATTGCCAATGTATAAAATTCATTATATACTTCCAGGATTCACTAACCTTCTTCGACCTTCTCTAACGACCATTGTGCCACAAGCAACCTTACCGACTCATCCATAAGTTGTTTAAATTCTTCATCAGTTAATTGATGAGCTTGAAATTTTTGTTTTTTTGCCGATATACTTGTTTTCAAAAGATCTATTTCTCGTCTGTATGCAACAACCTAAATAGACAGATGGAATAAGTATTTTTTTAAAAGAAGACGAAAGCATGCGAAACAGTGCGAGATGTATGCAAATAAAACGGTGGGGTAAAAATAATAGAAAAAAAAGTTTTCCATGGAAATGCATCTCAAATAACATAAAGCAAGAAAATGGGTTTGGTGGAAAAGGCAGAAAGAGAAAACGTCGAAAAGGAAAACATAGAAGGGGAAAATGCAGAAATTCTAAACATCGAAAGGTAAATGTCGAAAATTGCGTTTTTTGATAATTTTAACGAAAAATAAAAATTTATTCGATCATATGATAAAATACAATAAAAAAAAGAAAACTAAGTTTATCAGTATTATTTTATTTTTTTTTGTGATCCAAGTAGTAATGCTAATCCCTTCAATAATTGCTTTGCATTAATTACCAAATCAAAAGAAAAAATTTTCGTTATCTATAGACATCTTTTTCATTCTACGTTTTCCTTTTCAAAATTCTTCTACTTTTTTTCTCTGGCAGTTTTTCTTCGACACTGTTATTAATTATACTTTTTCCATTCGGCGTTTTTACCTTCTGAAATTTCCAGTTTCGACGTTTTCCTTTTTTTTCGACATTTTCCTTTCTGCCTTTTCCGCCAAGTCCGAGAAAATATCCTTAATCTATTGCTTACTAGATCAATAGCCATTTAAAAACAAAATAATGTAGTGGATGTGGATATGCGATTAGCTATACAATTTTAACCTGTTATATACATTTTCACTCATCTGTAAGAGCTAATCAAATTGCAGATGCGTCTATTGTTCCAAAGGTCATGAACAAAGAGAAAAAATAAAAAAAAATGTTCGCGGACGAATATTGTTCATCGAGTCAAAGATCGAATATCAAGAGAACACTTGTTTGATACAATTGATAATCGTAAAGAAAAATATTCTCAAGATATGCATATATTTTGACTGAGTATATTTAGCAATTTAGGGAACGTAAACTGAATGAAAAAACAAATGCTTACTCCATTAACACTGAACAAAGTAAGAAAAACCAAAGGCATAAATAGAATATATGAAAAATCTTTTGTTCGATATTATGCTTACAGTTGTGCATCTGTAACTGCATTAAATTCCAATGTAAATACCAATTGAAATGAGATTGAAGCACAATCTAGAACGAAAACAACGAGTAAATATATCAGTTCATATGAAAATCGAACATCTTTCTAATAGCTTTTTTTATTGACTTATCATTATCTAAATCAATTACTATTCTTACGTTTTGTTAATGAATCATCATTTGAACGATACACACGCGCTTAGAATATAGTTGTGCATCTTAAGAAAAAAACAAGAGAAACGAAATAAAGCTGAAGGAGAATAAAAGCAAAATGGTAAAGACCAGCTTTAGCGCAATAAGTCATATGGGCAAATAATTCGTTTTGCTCAATATCTGTCGATGGGAAGTAATTAGGGATGCAACGGTGACGATAACCGGTCTTATCGGTCACCGGTACATTTGAATGTGTGACGGTTTGTGTTGCTGGCACAAAGCACAGATGTAAATGATATTATTGTAAATGAAAATTAGCTCTTATAGTTATGTAATACGATATAACTGAAATTTTCAGTGTTTTAATTCATCGATGGCTAGTACTCTTTCCGATGCTAGTTTTAATTCTTTACTTGATCTATTACTCTGCTTCCAATTCAGTTTTACTCTGACTTTATATCTATTTTATCTACAACTTAAAAGATACCATTTGGTCACAAATTATACTACAGCGATGTATGAAAGATTGAACATGTATCAATACGTTAATTCGACTAAATGAATTCCAGTAAACCGTTTCATGGATAATAATACAGTGTCTCAATCAGAAAGATGCCGTTGATGCTCGACCTGGTTATCATAATATAGAAAAACTATTATTTCATGGTTGCTCGTATAGAGCAGCTGAACAAATTCTTCAGGTAGTTTTTGATCATAATCGTATCGAAAGAAATGACAAAGGAAAATCATGAAAAAGCTAGTGGCAGTGGCTCCTTGATTGATTAGGTACTAATAACGGCCATGTTTCTGTATCAAATCCATCTACGGATGAAAAAAAGACTACTTGTGTGCCGTGTACTTGTTGGCGGAAGTTGTAGAGTTGATCAAACGATAAGAACATGTTCAGTAAATTACGAGTCAAATATTCATGTAGTTTGTTCAAATCAACCTATTTTACTAGAACAGTGGCGGCGGAGCCACTGAGACAGGTGAGGCTTGAGCCTCACCTAGATTTCGCGATATGAGACTCAGCCTCACTTGCTTTTGTAGTGAATATTGCTATTTTCTTGTTCTTGCATCAGAGTAGAAGCAAAGAAAACTAGTTTTCGGTATTTTCCAATCTTCTTTTTTTATACTGACCATTTTTATTTTTACTGAAGTTCAATAAAAAGAAGACTTATTTACTACTTGATGTTTCATAAAATTCCACGATAGCAAAAAAATATGATGAGCCTCACCTAGCTTAATGACGCTCCGCCGCCCCTGTACTAGAATATTTAATAACCTATGTATAAACGTCATACATGCACAAGTGTAGAAAAATGCGTGAATTATATTTTAATGCGAGGATTTATTTGCTATAATACATGACGTTATTTGGTGCTTAACTGTAATTAAATGATAGTAGTGCGTTTTCTACTTGGATTCATTATGAAAAAAAAGTCTATGCAAAAAGTGTCTTTCGAGAATCATCTCAGCTGTATTTGATCAATATTCGATTTTCTTCATTCTTGATGTCATCGATTGAGTAACCGCATGCGTCGATGATACCGAATCGATCATTCAACTCGTCTAAACTTTCTTCTCCGATCAATTCCAGAATATCGTTGAGATTACGTAAAGTTTGACAACGATGAAAGAATTCTAAACAGTCATCATCGTCCACTGGCCAACGACTGTCAAATACATGCACTTTGTATAGATACATTGGGCAGCGGTTGATATCAGACTCCCAATCATTGTTATGTTCAGACAAATTCGGATATTCGTTGTCGTCATCATCCAAGTCTTCCTCTTTCTTTCCACAAAAATAGCACCATCTTCCGCCACATCGTGCGCAAGTCATGTGCGTGCAATTATTATCTTTAATGCCTGCCAATTCACAGTGAGGACATTGTCTAAGAGAACCGGTCGTGATGGCTTCCTCAATCAATCGTTTGCGATAGTGATACTCGACGCACCGCGATGAGTGTGTTAATTCATCAATCTCATCCTGCACCATGCTCGAACATATTAAACATGATCGTTTTCCGCAATCAGGATGTTGGCAATTGAGAAATTGAATCGGGCATGCATCAGTAGTATGGATTTCCAGATAGGGACAAAATGGACCTGTTAAAAATTAGAACGTGATCAAAACATAATTTTGGTTAGCTGATAGTTTCTTTCAAAATACGTACATTGTACGAATTCTTCATCGTCGTTGAGGCATTTTTGGGACCAGTAGAGAGGCAACATACAAGCAACATATTGCTCATAATATTTTTCATCGATAATTACACGTTCAACACACGTGTTATTGAAAGCTGTTCGACATCCTCCACACTGGAATGGATAATTGAGCGCCGGTTGAGCAAAAAACATGTTGATCATTTTAGTGATACAGTATGAACATGTATTTTTGCGACATTTGTCATTTATGCATGTTAAATGTGTACCAGTGACGGTAATATTAGATTCGCATATTCCACAAGTAAGCTTGTTTTCTTGCGGTGATGGTATTTCCAACGTGGTTGATGGCTGCACAATGGACTCTGCATTATCATTCTGTGTAGACATACTGTTGGCATAGAAAATAAACGTGAATGCTAAATAGATTCGTAACGGACACCCTCAAGTTTGGCCAAAAAATTCGTAGATGATATTTTATACGTCATCGGTACTATAAATACCGATTGCATTATTGTTGATTTCATCATCATATTTTTTCGCATAGGTGACTATAGATGTGCAACTCCTTGTTGTTGCAAATGATGATGTAACTGACATATCGATATTGACATTTTGTTCGTGCAGTATTTCGAAATGATGACGTAATTTCAAAGGATTGGCTTTTCGATTTTTTCTTCTTACTCATGTGCCAATTTTTCACTACAGCTTCGCAAAATACACAAAGCATAATAAACAGAGAAGCCTGTGTAAACATGAATGCCATCGCTATTAGAAATCGATGTAAAAACATCCAGATGAGTGCTGCATATTTCACCATGTTCAATACGGCCTCATTCCTATTTGCCTTGATATGAGATCAAAGTAAAGTGCCTTTAGAAAATATATTTTCTCAGTATAAGGATTATAGGTGCTAGTGAAGAGGATGTAGATACCAACATCGATACTGATATTCAAACTATTGAGATTCGAAGTTAAAATATAAAATATTTTCATCTTGAATCTGTTCTCGAGTATAGAGTTGGATGGGTGCCGATTAGTTAGATGTGAAGCCATCTACTGAAGTTTCTAAAGTGTGTCTTGCAAATCGAAACGTGTCGAGATAGATCGTCTGTAGCTGGCAGTAGTTATTTCACAACTTCCTTAAGAGACACTAATTGTGTAAATTCATACCGTTTAGTCGGCATAAATTAACAATTTAAACTAGAAAGATGAAGATATTTGACTGAACAAAAATTGTATAGATGCCGAAATTATTCTCAGGTTGCGTCAAGATTGAGGTAGGCTAACTTTGATCACTCGGACCACTGATTGAAAAATTTTCGGAACGATTGGCCTAATTTATGAGCTTGCTGAAAAGTTTTTGATAATTGCTGTGTGAGAAGGCGCATGAAATGCTGGAGGTTTGCTAGTGCAAAAAAAAAATACACTGAATGTTTCGTACAACTATCAGATTCGATTATAAAGTTTTATCAAGTGTACGGAGCACGATTGAGGACTAGATCCGCAATTCTTTAATCAGTCAGGTGAGAACCCATACATTTTTATCGATCGAATTCAAGTTCAGAAACTCTAGAACTTGATGGACTCTTGTAGGTATCAATAACAAAAGAACGACACTTCGATGCATGTGATCAGTTAGACGATGACAGACTGTCGATGTGAGGGTGTGAATATAAAGTTTGGAATTGGCTTGAACTACAAATCACCAATTCAAATCCGCGTCTTTGTGTAGATTACTAGCTATGTAGTGCAGCGATGTCTAGAACATATTGAATCTGGTCCGTTTCATATATATTTTTTCACTGCGTTTATCTCGTGGGCATTTCTTCGTTCCCCATTCTTTTTCGTTCCTTTTGCCTTCACAATTTTTACTTTCGGTCATTTTGATGCATACCATATATGTATATCGTAAATGTATTTCATTTTATTAAATGAAAATAATTGATCATAGAGGGTGCGGGTATGAATATGAGCATCGTAGACGAAAGAGATGCGCACTACTACGCTTTCAACAGTAGTGAGAAGATGTGTACTGTGATGAAGAAAAATAGGAGCTAAAAGTATTAGGCCTTTACTATACTTGCTGATATTATCTCGACGGTACTGCTAGCGAGGAGTGTAATAGAAAAAATACTTTGTTCGCGAGTTTTTTCAATCATTTTCATTCAATGTTGTAGACTTACTATACGCTCTTTATTCGATCGATAGACAAGTCTTCGTACTTAACTCAGTTATGCACTTTAGTTTATTACAATTGTTACATGTATTTCGCTATTTTAGTTCGACTGATCTGTAGTTGGGTGTGAGTGTACGTTTAGGTATAACTTATGACTCAATCGTCGACTATCACAGCTTACCGACACTCCATACCCATATTGACACCCTCATCGAAATTTATTATCATACAAATATCAAGTTTCATAAAGTATCTCAATGAACACATATTTTATGTTAAAAGATGACTCAAATCTACATTTCAATTGTCATAGATGGATATGTGGCCAGCCCTGAGGACGAACCAGAAAAAGTACGAGTTTGCCGTCCACTGATTTTCTCATATTGATCAACGATTGTTGCTATGGTTTCAACAGCTTCTGATGAATTTTGAGCGAGTACAGCAACTGTGCCTCCACCACCACCACCTGTAATTTTAGCACCGAAAAGAACATTTTTTAATGATTTTTGTTGCCGTATTAAATTAACCAACAGATGCGTTTCTTCACTATTTAGATCACATGATGTATAACCAGCATCCGATTGAAACATTAATTCTCCGAGACTAGATAAATGATCAATAGATAAATGTTGATCAGTATTTAATAATTGTTCAAATAGTTGAACACGAAAATTTTCTTCGATAGGATGTGACGTTGCAGCACGAACTGGGTAAATTTCATTAGGATCTATTTGAGTTAATGGATCAAGATGTAACGATGCTATGAAATTGCTACCAGGCATCTTCTCTGGTAATAACATTCGATATTGATTATTAAATTTTGATAGTGATATTTGACATAGATGAGAAATATTGTTGGGTAGATTCATTAGCTTTTTACCCATAAAAGCAGCTGTTCGTACACGACGATACGCAGCGCCTGCTGTTGATCTTTTAACACCAGAATCAATACCAAACAATTGAATATTTGCAGGTAATAGAAAGTTATGGAATGGTGGATTCGGTGTATGCTGACAAAGAAGTGAAAATAAATTATGAGCATATCCATGAGCACATGTCATTTGATCCATAAATCCACATGAACTACCAACAATATGATTTTCAACATATTGACAAAGTAGAGCTAGTTCAGTATTTGATATACTATGATCGAGATTAAGACATTCACTTGCTAAAATTCAACTAAAACAAAATAGTAAACTTGAGTTCTTGAACTTCATTTTCGAATTACCTGCACGAGCAACAGCAACTTCAAGAGCAGCTGATGAAGCTACACCTTTATTACATGGTACATCCGAAATAATAACTATATTGAAGCCAATTGGTATGACTGCTCTATCAATTTTATCTATCAACTGAGATAAAATGCCTACTATATAATTAGGCCAATTTATAGGTTCATCATTTGAAGGTATACTATTTTGTTGTTGATTATACCAGTTTTCTAATCGTTGTCTTAATGTATTAGTATGATCTAAGAGTAAATTCATTGGAATTTCACGTTCCCATACGGTTAAGTTATTTTTATTAATCGTCTCACAATCAACGCAATCTGTTTGAATACTAATCATATGGACTGTGTCGGTATTAGAAACTTGAACAAAAGCATGAGTATTTTGTGCAATTGGATATTGAAGTACATGAGAACCTGAATAGTCAGCAAAACCTGAAAGACAAGCAAAGACAGTGTTAACTAAATTGAAGTTAGACATTTGTTTTTAAATAACAAACCTCCCATCACATCTAGACGACCAGGTGCACTAGCACTATATATTGGTTTCTTAGATAATGAGAATAGTGTTCGTAATTTATCGATACGTTGCACTAGTGGCCAAGCCTTCGACATAGTAGAAGTTTGTTGTAATGGTTGTTTTTCTTCAAAAGCAAATGCACGAAATGTACGATAATATTCTTTTGGATTGCCAATATCGTATCGATTGCCATCTAGAAGACAACCACGTAGCTGTCCATTTTTTCGAAGATTATTCATTGCTTCACGTAAACCTAGCTCGGTAGTTACATTTTCTCGTTCGAGCGTTTTCTCATGTTGTCGAAGTTGATCGAAAATTGTTGGAGGTAAAATATCAATGCCTGCTTGACACAAGAAAGCGTTGTCAAATAATCGAGATTGATAATGTTGCAGTGCTACTTCAATAGACGGTTTCTCTATCATATCTGTAATTTCAAAAAAATGTTTATTCTTGACGTTTAAACTTGATTGTAATAAACCAGTTTCTGAGACTTGTTCTAGACTACACTTCATAACACCTGTAAGACCCATTACAGATTCACCTGCAATATTCTGTCGGTATGCATCGAGTAATTGCTCTAAACATGATTGATTATTATTCGATTGATAGAGATGATCGCTAAGCATTACAACAAAAGGTTCATTATCAATATATTGTTCAGTTTGTAGAATAGCATGACCAAAGCCTTTTGGTGACTGTTGTAAAATATAATCAATACTTTGATGAGGATACGATGAAAAATAGGATTGAAATAAATGTAATTGACTAGGTGCGATGACAAATAGTACTTGTTCAATATCAGTTTCTTTCGTAAAAATTTCCTGAAGAAGAAGATCAAGTACTGGACGACATTTCCATGCGTTCGAATTCGATTGAACTATGGGTAAGAAAGCTTTTGGTAAAATGGTACTTTGAGGGCGCATTCGCATGCCAAGTCCCGCAATAGGAAGAACAACTTTACGTACACAAGTTTTCCGACGTGCAAAAGTTGATGGTAGTATATCTTTTATAGTCGCATCTCTTTTTGCTAAAGTGATAGTATGACCTGAAAATGGTACACGCGATTGAACAGACCAATTTGTCGCTGAAAATAACTTATCCCATTCTTGACGAGGTCGCTCCTTCGCTCCATGCAATAAGAACATATGTAATGATAGAAGAGCATGTTGATTGATATGCACATCTACTTCACGTTCAATTACGCATAGATATTCTGCTGGAATACGGTTTAAAATTAATTTTACTTTTTCATCAGGCCAATCATGAAGTACACGAGACAAAAAATAAAAATCGCTTGAAGGTAAGGCACCAGAAAATAAATCTCCAGATAAAAATTCAATTTTTGGATGCGTAGAAGCTAAGCGAATAACTTCAGGACGATCAATACAGATTAAACGCTGATTTACGCAATGCTTTGAAATCTCACGTAACAAAGCACCAACTCCACCTCCGAGATCGACAACACTAGATGCTCGAAATAATTCCGTGGGAAGTACAGATGTAATACCATGCCAATCTTGATCAGCATATGAATTCAATACTCTTTGTGTCAGAGCAACAAGATCCGGTGTTTTAGCAATTTCAGAGAAAACATCAAAATTGGAACTGGATTGATTCTGAAAGTCGAAAGTTGGCAACCAAGCTGATATATGTTGATCTCGTAGCCAATAGCAAGCACGATCACGAGTAATACTATTTCGATCAAAAAGAAGATGGCCTCGGTCAGTTACAGTAAACGTTTTTTGGTCCGATGATAATTTAAGAAAACCCAATTCAGTCCACACCTGTTGAATTTGTTCTCTTAAATTTGATTTGTAATCGTTGGATTGATGATCGACTTGAAGTAAATTTGTCTTTTGATCTAAACCTATTTTAAGTGCAAATGATGGCCAATAACTTTTGGATATCTATAAAAGGAAACTAAATAGCAATTAAAATTTCTGAGGTTTCAACTCTTTTTTTGTTCAAAGGTTCACTTACATGTTCAATATCAGCCCTACTTTCATCTTGACAATTATCTAACCGAGCTAATATACGATGTTGCTCATCGATAATGCATCTTGAGCCATCGTGAAGTAATTGAACAAGTGCTTGGCCATTATAAAAATTCTCAATTTGACGATACCGACGACCTTGTCCAATATCAACACCAGCACGATCGATAAAAAACCATCCATTTTCATCGCGCGCTCGTGCTAAACCTTTATGATAAATATCAAGATCAAAAAAACTCGTTGTCTTCGATGATGAATGAAGGAAATCTCCATTCTCATCAATTGCACGGAAAAGACCATCGATTGAACTACGAATAACTGCACTACCCTGCAATTCACAAGCAATAGTACACAATTAAATAAGATAACAAAAATATATTTTACTTCTCGAAAATCGCCAGCATATGAATGAGGACCTGAGACAATTCGTCCTACACGATCAATATGATAATATTTCAGATTAAAATCTCGTACGGAACATCGATTTGATTGAAAATTACCACACCATTGCCATACAGATCTATACGCAGGAGAACCCTGATCGGTAATATGATACCAATGATTACCTTTCTAAAAATATTTAAAATCAATTTTCTGTGCCATTTGATCATAGGACGAACCTGTACAACAGCAAGATCTTCATAGAAACCAAATGTACGATCAAATCTTTGCGAATAAACATGTTCACCATGTTCATTTATATGAAAAGCTCTTCCAGTTTGATCAAGAACTGGTGCTAAGCCAGGTGAATGAAAAGGTAAAACGTTTTTAAATCGATATTTATAAAGTGGCTGTTGTGCATTTAAACAGATGTGATATGTACCACATGATGACACTCGAGAATAAGTCCATTTTAATCTATAGAGAATATTTTTCGAAAGATTTACTTGTCGAAATCGACGAAACAACATCTAGAATAGAAGTAGAATGTTAATAATTCGAAGGAGAAATCAAAAGAACTCTTTATTTTAACTCGGGTGGTTTTCTCATATTACAATTTTGACAGAGTGAATATTTTGTATAATTATTAACTAAATTTTTATACGCGTCACTTGTCCAGATTTTCATAAGATTTTCATTCGAATTTTGAACGTGACCGAATGTACCTAATGATAGTCGTTCTTGATCAGGCGCACAACAAGGATCATAACGGCCGCTATGATTTATCCATGCTTCTCTGCCTAGAAATGGACATACACTTTGTGGATGAATACTAGATGAGCCACTTTGTTCGCTCAATTCAAAGAAATTTTCAAGTTTGATCTAGATAAAAAAAACATTTTTTAATGCTGTTGAGCTATTTTTATTTGAAAAAGAATTACTTGTTTGCCTGTTGGTAATAAATATTGCCGAGCGATATTTTTACATTCAAGAACACATTGATTCCATCGACGGATAGCTTCTGGTGATCGACGAAGATTTTGTTCTTTTATTTGTTTAAAATGAGCCCATAAATGATGACCTTTAATTCGATCAACACCCAATGATATTCCGAATTTAACAATCTATATAAATTGATAATATTATTATATGAATCAAAATAAGAAAATTACTCACTTGAGGGATTTCCAATAAATTAATTTCCATAAACGTAAGTTGTAATGTGACTGTTGCTCGATTTTTTCCCTGATTAGCAAAGTCATCACGTACGCGAAGGAATTCGATTAAATTTTTCAACTATAATGTGCATAGATGTATATATATATATGACGATATTCAAAAGAAATATTTGTATCAAAATTTTAACTATAGTGCGTACTTGCTTATCAAGTTTAGAGTTTTTCATAACACGTTCTTGCGTTGTTTGTGTGATACCATTCCAAGAAAACTTTACATCACTTAGCACTGGCATAAGAAGATGAGCCCATTCGGTAACTAAAAAACGTATTATGTATTATTGAGTGCTTCAAAATCTTTATTAAATTATCAAGGATTGCAAGAATATCTATTGGAGAAAATTAGTTCTATCTACTAGTGCATATACGGGCAATGTTTAATAACCAAATATAATTTTCCAGCGAGAATATAATGAGAAGTACAACTAGATTTATATTATTTGAGAAAAAGTGAAGGGGAGGGAGAGCGTGCCTTTCGTACTTCAAGTCTTTTGTGAAATACGATAAAAGTATCGAAGTCACGCTTTTCCCCCTTGGAAAGAGTACTGTTTTATCGTTCGTGACACAACATTTTAACTGGAAAGTCGTTTATTGAAAGGGAAATGGAATCGTGCATCTGCCCGATTACTTTTACATGAATTTTTTGTGTTTTTTATACCTGAATGCCCTTGTGGAGAAAAAAATGATCCATTTGTTGTTAGATTTAATTTAATATTGTAGTCTCGACATAGTTTAATGATATCTTCAAATGTACGACCTTTTGCATCTCGATACATAAGTGGTTCGCCCATGGTTGACGGAATCTAATAAACAAATTTTAAGAATGTAAATGATTAAATAAATATCCCTACGATTTCTTGTAATCCAAGCGAGGCTGTTTCAGCAACAACTTGTTTTATTATGTCAAAGTCCATTCGACGACGTCGAATTTTTGCTTCTTTACGTGCTTTTTGATGTGGTGAATGTTCTGAATGTTGTTCACACATAATACAACTAAAATTGCAATCATCTGGATTTGTATCGAATGTGATTCGACGTGGAGCCCGTAATGAATCGATAGGTTTTGGTTGAAGATTTTCTTGTTCTTCAACTTGACTTTTAGTTAACGTTGAATATAAATCAATCAATTGATCAACGTGCGATTCAATTGAAGGTACTTGCCGATCGTTTGAATACAGATAACTATACTGACTGAATCGGTCAAGTAAATTTGGTTGTTGAACAGCTTGCAGTAGAGCTTTTGCAAGTGATGATGCATTGCGATGTGTAAATGTCAATCCATTAACTCCATCTTTCACCAATTCACTCTAAATAGGATGCATAATATTTTTATATAGAGAATCAAAATACATACCATTCCACCTTGATTTGCTGTAATAACTGGTACACCACATTGTTGCGCTTCATGAATAACTAACGGAGAGTTTTCATCCCAAATTGATGGAACTACAATGTAATCTACATGATTAAAAACACGTTGAACAATTTCAGAATTTTTGTATTCCGAACGCCATTCAACTGAAACTCCAGCTGCGTTTGCCATTGCTTGTAGATTAGTGGTTGTCGTAGGATCGGATCGACCATAAATTACGATACGAAATTGATTAGCTAATTGTGAATCATTTTGAACGATTTCTTTCGCAGCTTCAAACAACAGATTAATACCTTTCGATGGTGAATGTCGACCGATATAACCGAAAGTAAGAGGATCGTTCAATGCACGAATACGTTGACGACTTGCTAATATCGATCGATCAAAACCATATGGTAAATATTTTACCTTTTCAGATGGAAGACCGAATTCATCAATAAATCGTTTTTTTAAATGAAGTGATGGTGCAATAAACATATCAATGGCATCACATGTTTGCCGGACTGTACGCATTCGTTCATTGATCCACCAAGCCCAATAGTCCGTTTCATGGTCTTTATTTGCCATTGTTCCTAAGTAACAACAGCAAATATGATTTTCATTCAAATCTATTTTTAATACCTGATGCAAAACGAGATGTAAAACATTTTGAAGCACATTTTTTATCTTCTTGGCTTTTACATAATTCATAAGGTTCTTGGTTGTTAAATGCAGAAGCAACACCACTAATTAAAAATTGACCTCGTGGACACATCAGCCAATAATCATGTAGTGTATAAATAACTTTTGCACCTAAAATATCTTTAGCACGTTGTGGCAATGTTAATGATAAATGATTTAAATGTCCAAAATGAACAATATTTGGTTTTGTATGCAAGTTTTGACATATATCTTCAAAACAATGTTCAATATCATTATTCACAAATCGTTGATATGGTGCTTCTCGTGCATGATTAATTAAAAATATTGGTATAGACGAATCATGTTCATCTTGTGTCTGTCGAATAAGAAAATCAGAACGAAATGGATCTTGTTCTCGTGAAATAATCGATACTGCCGATGTTTTTTCAGATCGTTTCAACCAAACAGCTAGGGTTTGTGTGTAAACCTAAAGTTATTTTCATTGTTTTCAAGTTTGTAGAACAGAAAAAAAAGATTTATTATACCTCAGAACCTGCATTGAACAACGGTGGGTAGCCATGATTAATCAATAAAACTGATGGTTTTTTTATTAAAGTTTGAACGACTGATGAATTAGAAAAAAATGCACGATGTATATTACCATTGTTAGTTAAGAAACGCGCCATGGTGAGTAAAAATAGCTTGCGTATTGTCTAGACAGACTATAACTAAAATATAAGGTTTCGATAAGGTGAGAACGAACGGAACAAAAAATGTGACGCTTTCAAAAATAGACTAGACTAGTCTTTTTCGCGGATCTCGGTTGATTTTTCTTGCTATTTCTGTTGACATAACAGGCAGTTTACACCACACAAATAAAAAATACGCTCACTCGACTTTTTTTTTGAATCAGCAAGACTTTGTATGAGACGGCGAATTTGACGTGGCATTTATAATACAACGCATAACATTGTAGAACGATGAAAAATAAAAAAAAGAACAAAACTATTCTCGTTTTTATTTTTTCTAAGTGTCATGGGTATAACAGATTATGTGTTATTGTGCTGAAATAATATTATAAAAATCATAATCAGCTGAATCAAAAAAAAAATATAATGATATTCATACAGACTATTGATTTCAGAACGGATACATCTTTTTCTAATAGAGAAAATTGTGACAAAAAATAGCCATTTTGAAAAAGGCTTTAATTTTTAGTTGATGATATGAAGAAAAAAAAACATAAAAAGACGATAGGCTCCGCAACTCGAAATGTGCCAGTAAAGAGAGATATATTCTGTTATTGATACGTGAAAGATTGTATTCTGGTAAATTGTGATGAAATGCGAAGCATGTTATGATTAAAAGAAGAATGCTTTTATAGATAAAGTCTGCACAGTAAAATAGTGAACTTTTTTACACGAGAAAAGTAGAAGTTCAAATGTTTCTCTGGTATGATAACATATATAGATAAAGAACGACCGATGCGCAATTACTCTTACGCTGTAATTATCTATATCGTGCTAATTTCAATAAACCTGTGATACGTGCTTACCCATGTTACAAATACTGGATCATTTTTTGCGGTAAAGGGAGCCAGTATAGCCAGACCGGTAAAACCGCGGTAAATCGGCGGTTTTTTGCACGTGTTTATCACATGTAAAGTTTAAAAAAAGGATGTTCCAAATAGCTTAATTGATGATTTGGAACACTTTTTTTTGTCAAAGATTAGAAACGAACAGGTTAACCGATCTTTTTAGCGGCAACTGCGGTATTAATCAAAACCGGTGGCTTACCGCGGTAAATTTTCACTGATGGGAGCCGGTAACCTGACCGGTAAAACCGCCGATTTGCATGCGGTTTTTGTTGCATGGGTAGTATCAAGATAGATTTTCGTTAAATCACTAGTGGATATTAATCAAGAGCAACTCCTCTTGCATGATAACTCGTATACTGCTCGTCAAGATAAATCTTCTGTACTCACTCACCGTTATATGAGGTAAAGATAAAATAGATTGTAACGGTTGTTATCGTTACGGTTCACTTCATGTACATCCCAGGTCGAACAGTCCGGCCTGGAAACGGCCGGTTTCGGGTAGTTCCGTTGATTTTGTGGAAGCAGTATTCCGGTTGGAAATATTTCTGGTGATTTCCGATCAATTCCTGCCGAAAAGCACCGCAACTTGGCAGAAATTCACCGGAAAAGTTCGGCTATATTTTTGGCCGGAATACTGCTTCCATGTTCCAGCGATTTCTCGTGTTTTCCTGCAGAGTATGGTGACTTTCTCGCATACTTCCTGTAATATCCTACGGGATGCAGCGGCCGGAATGTTCGACCTGAGGCATTATCCTCTTCTTCCTGTATCCGTGTGCTCGCGAATTAACTGTATGAGCGTCTCATTGTTCTGTTGCATGACCGATCCCTCTATGTTTCTATTCGTTCATGTGTGATCACTCTCTCGTATATAACGGAATATAATTGAAGGAAATGTACAACTAGAGATTTGCAGATGACACAATACAAAATCATACCGACGGACATAGACGACAGTCTCTATATTTGTCACATAGATACCAGTGAGTATACTATTTGTACAAGACCCGTTACAATTACGAGAGCGCTAATGAGATCTATTAACCATATGCGTGATTGCATGTACTCTTTTTTATTCACCCTGCTTTTAATATAAAATGAAATAACTATTCAAGCATCTTTGCTCTAACGATTAGCATAAAGTTTCACTGGCGTCATTATTTATACTGATTCGAAGGTTTTTGAAGAGAATAATTCCAATACATCTTTGAATAACTATGATATTTATAGTCGACACACTCAAAACTATCGAACTAGACAGATTGCTAAAAAAACGATGATATATATGCTTTCAATGATCATTGTGACGAACATGGAGTGTCATCTATGCCCGTCGGCATGACGGTGTATTGTGTCATCTGCACATCTCTAGTCGTGCATTTCCTTTAGCTACATCCCCTTATATACGCGAGAGCGATCACACTTGGGCGGATATAGACAAAGAGGGAACGGTCACGCAATAGAACAATGAGAGTTCATCAGGTCAATGCACAGACATAGGATACAGCGAAGAGGATAAAGCATATAAAGTGAGCCGTAACGGTAAATACCGTTACAATCATGTGATTCATTCAAGTGAACGAACTCACAGCTCATATAAATAAATATTATATTAATACCAGAAGAAAATCGTATTGTTTTCTTCGTTTTTTATTTAAAAAAATGCATGAAAATGCAAGGCAACGTCTTATAAGTTCTATGCGAACTATGAATTACTTTTTTATAGTTTCAATTAAATGTACTTTCGGGTATAGGTTAGACATGTCGCGAAGTTAACATATGTGATGGGCGACTGCCGTTCACAACCATTAGCGGAAATATGAGCGTAATATTTGTAAAAGATAATCTTGTCTTAAATATCATTTCGAGTGCATAATTAACGGTCCACACCACACTAGGTGTTGCAGAATATTTATAAACTGTTGAAGGTGCAAATAGCTCAGTTGCCGAGAGCATCGGAATCTGAACCGTATGATAAAAGTGGTCATTTTGAAAGTCTTCAATACCTGGTAACAGTTCTTCAAAAATAATTTCGGTACTACTTTTATCACCTAAATCACGAAGCTGTACCAGTTTAACAATAACTTCTTTAATAGTTGTTCTACCTGGATTGTCAATATAAAGTTCTAGAGGAATATAAGGTTCACCAATCAGTAAGTAATTACGTAAAAGTATCCCGTGTATGTATAAATCTCTGATATTCTCGTCTACCCTTTCGACAGACGAAACATGTCGTGGTATACCAACAAAGGGTGCGACCGTAATATTAACGAATTCACAAACATTTCGATGCAATCCCGAACGAGCCACAGTAACTGCCACGTAATAATTTATCCACGTAGTAATCTTTTTCTTTTTGGCTCGAAACAGGCTGGGAGGTAAATTTTTGACCAGATGCAATGAAAATGGCCACTGATAAGTATTTGGTTCTAGATAATATCCATCCTAGAATAAAGCCAGCGAAATAATATGACTATGAATAATAAAAATAAAATAAATCTATTAAAAAAATATTCATTTTGATTTCATTCATGTTTCTTTAACAAGACGTCTACGAAATGCTTTCGTGCGAAAACTTCAAATTTGATTGAAAATCAAACAATTTCAGATCATTATTTACCAATAAAACGTCTAGTTTTTGCGAAATTAATATTTATAAATTAAGTGGATTCAACTAACTCTAGTGAGACTGCTTATTAACGAACAAACAATGTAAAAATCTAGGATAAATATGAGTGTGGGTCTTCTTTCAACATTCACAGATTTTTCGTGTTCACCAAAATAAACAATAATACAACTGTTTTTCTAAGTTTTACTCCAATACTTTAGATTTCAAGAAAAGCGAAACTTGAAGAAGAATTCAGATTCGAATTTCACTTTTTATGTTGACTCTAATGATCATTAAAGCAGTATTTCTATATATATAATAATTAAATCGAGATAGAGAGAAATAATAAAATGTTCTTATAAAAACAATGAGCACGTTAATTTAGTATTAGCGAATAAAATGGACGGCTTACTTGATCATAAGATATTCCATGTGCTGGTTGTATCACAAAAGGATGGAAATCAACATAGAAATTCCTTTGTCTTGTTACAATGTGCTTATTTTTCCCCGAACCGTGGACTTCAGTATTAATACGCTGTCCGATTAGTTTAACATCGATAGATTTCGTCTTCAATGGTCGATCGACTGTTAAAACTACATAACCGTTGACGGCTTCACCTGTCCAGTAAAACATTTTCTCGTTTGAATCCAATGTAATATAGCAGCTTACGCTTGAGCCCATCCTAACCTTTTTTGCGATTCGATAAAGAGTATGTTTGAATATTTGCTTCAAATCGTATTATATATATATAGAAATAAGACCAATTAATGGCGTCATATTAGGAATAGGAAAGCGCGTAGTTTTTTTATCCGCTCGTATGCAATTATACAGGGTATATCTATTATTAGTCATGATTTGTTTATTCGTCGAAGGTTTCTACGAAAGAATGCAACTAGTATGAAAAATATGTAAATTTATTTACTATTAAATATTTTTTCATGCTTTGATACAGGCGAAGCGTGACTTGACTCATATATATGATAAGTGCTAAAGCAATTTTTTTTATTATGCTCATAAATGTAACACTCGGAAGTGCTTACATGTAAAAAAGAGAAATATAGATGTATAAGCGAAAACCACATCATTTTAAGCAACGCGTTACAATTTGTGCCAATAATATATTATGCTGTGTACCAATTTTCGCTTGAAGGGATATTTGGAGAGTAAATAAATGAAAAATCGATTAAAATGTGAAAAAAAGAAAGGAAAGAGAAGTACTGATGATAAGCAGCAGCGAAGATACGTGAGTACATCGAACAGCTAGAAAAAGGAAGAACAAACTAAAAGAACGAACGAGAGAGAAAAAAAAGGAAGAAGAAATTTGCGTAAAGCAGTACATTTATGCATCTTTCTATGATATTAATTCGCATCAACAAAAGTCAACCACGTTAAAAGGAACGACTCGTGCCGATCTTTCAATTGCCGTACACGACGTGCGCGAAAAAAATGACCAAGGTCATCCTTCTTCCTTTTATAAAAATTATCCCAGCTAAATATATCTTCTTAGAAGGCAGAAGAACCAAGATCAGTTATGAACATAGTTTTCAATCTGCGTTGAATATATTTTTTAACATAAAATTGTAAGGGCTGTTGAGAAGTGACTTTTAGCAGATTATGCGCAGAAATGAAGGGGCAGCGATGCACCAACCGAAGACCAACACGGAATTTTTGTTCTAATACATGTTGTTGAGATACTAGGAGGAGAGGAAAAAGGGGGAATAGCCACGCGAAATATGGGAAACTGTACGCGAAGAAACATTGATGAAGCGCTTTACATGACATTTTGCGACCAGATTTTATCCATTTCAGTTTTCCTAGCGATCTCTGAATATTTCCTATGATTTTATCGACTGTTGGTTTCAACGAAAGTTTATCCGTCCAAGTAAATCCTAGGTATTTGAATTCTTTGACTAACTCAATTTTGTTACCGTCTATTGTTACGTTTACGATCGGTCTTTTAACTTGTGTATGAAATAATTGTACTACAGTTTTAGAAACATTTAACGGTTGTTTCCACTTTTTTGAGTATATAAAAACCTGATTACAAACTCTTGTACCTTCTTTTTCTAAATAGTCAATCACCGAGCCTAATTTTTTCATTATTGGCGGTTTAATTAATACACACAGGTCATCTGCAAATAAATGACATGAATGAGCTCCTAGGTAATTTGTTAGATCTGAGTGAAACACTATAAATAAATACGGACTAAGACTACTACCCTGCGGCAGTCCTATATTTATACTAAATATTTGCGAAGTTATTTCACCATATTCTACGTAAGCTTTTCGTTCTTTTAACCAACTATTAGTCATTTTTAATAAGTTGAGAGGCATACCCATTTTTTCTAGTTTACAGAGGAGAGCAGCATGCCATACACGATCATAAGTCTTTTGGTAATCAACATATAGGACAAGCGTCGGAATATTAGCTGCCATGTTGTTTTTCACTTCCTGGTATATCGAGAGTACTCGAGTTGGTAGAAGACATTTTGGGCGGAAACCAGATTGTTCTGGCGGTACTAAACGATTTGTTTCAGCCCAGTGTCTAATTCTTAGTAAGAGCACTTTTTCAAACAGCTTTGAATGTGTAGCTAACAAGGAAATTGGTCGAGTTTGCTCACACTTTGGGATACCCGATTTCAACTTATTTAGAGTAATGATTTTTGCAATTTTCCAGTCATCTGGATAACGACACTCGTTTAACCATGTATTGAAGCATTTAGCTAAGCACTCGATGTAACTTGGAGGAAGTTTTTTAATTATAAAGTTTGACACGGAGTCAAGGCCTGCTGATTTCTTAGGCTTTAAGGTTTTAATTATACGAGTAATTTCGGCAGTGCTAGTTTTTTCTACGCTATCATTCAACACTGATAATCTATTTACCAACTCTTTATACTTCCTATCTATCTGGTCTTCGTGTTCATTAGAACAATCCACTGCAGGTACTTTGAACTGTTCACTGTAGTACTGGAATAATTCATTTGTAATTCCTTCTGGTGTTG